GCACCTAGATGTCTAAGAAGGGAAAGAAAACAGGACGTCGGCGCATACGAAGACTGATTCGTGTATTAATATCGTTTATACAACATAGGAGGATCCAAGACTCAAAAGAAAATTTCCAATCTAAAACGCAAGATTCGTCAGCAAGCATCCAAACATGCTCATTCTTGTAAGGAAAAAGATCGGGAAATACAGGAATTAAAACTAAGGGAAAGACATCATGACATTATATTTCGCGATGCCTTACGATACATTTACCACCCCTATGGAAACCAGAGATGTATCTACTATACCAGCTGGGATAAAGAAGTTGCTGATGGTTGCCATTCTGCCTACCACGAAACAGATTACAGATAGAGAGACAAAATGTAAAGCCACGTAAAAGTTTATTAATTACAAAAAGGACGCTACAGGTGTTGAATAAAAATGTGTAATATTATAATTGTTTGAACTGTAATTAGTAGTTAACCAAACATAATCTTCTACAAGGGGTGCTGCTACATCTTCCTCACAATCTACAAAACCCCAACTAATGACTGGTATGACATTACAAATCTGATTCACAACCATAAAAAAGTGAAATTGGTTAAAAAGTAAAACAATTTCATCATCCTCCATATCTAAAAGACACCATAATGTGAAAAAAAAAACTCGTCGAGATCCTCCAGAGGGAAATCATCCAAAGGGTATTCATTCTAAAAATGTAAAAAATTTAATTTCATAGTCATTACTTGACCAAATAGTAGCCAACCACTCATAACTATGGAGTTCTCTTTCTTGGATATCATAAAAACAATGTATGAATTAATTTGTGTTATACACTGAAAGAAAAAAAAATCTAAATTAAAAAAAAATATCCAAATTAAAGTTTTCTATCACTGATAATTCAAATTTTAAATTACTGAAAAACCAATAGAGGGCATTTGTATCCACATAGTTTTGATGTATCTACGAAACAGAAACCCCATATAAACGAATATGAAAAAGCTGACCATAAAAGTAATTTTGCAGTAATTCTTGAGGTATCTATAAAATAGAAAATAAACGTAGTACTCGCATAAATAAATTGCTATGACAATAAGATTGGTTTAATCTTGTTTCGAAGATACCCCCATGTGTTCCTAACATATCACTTATTACAGTATTTTCTAAAAGAACATCAAAAAGTAATTGAAAATAGGATGGAAATAAGTGATGCATTTGAAAAAAACTGTTTTGAAATTCCATACAAAATTACACACAAATCACATATTCCATTCTATTTATAATAATTCCTAGAGCTTGAAAAAGAGCTCTTAAAGAATTTCGAATAAAATTTATTTCTTGATAAGTCACACAGAGCAAACATAAAGTTGACAGGTAATCATGTGGAGGAATCTGAAATCATTAAAAAAAGTCTCACTGAATGATTCTATTGTGTAAAGTGTCGTAATAAAAAAAGAAAAACGAGCTCTCATATAAAATTCAGACTCTTCTACATGTCAAAAAACTTTAAAGAGCAAAAATAAAAATTATCTAAAACGTTCACGAAACATATAATGGCAATAACGAATAGAATGACGACTTGAATGCGCGGGGAAACGCTATTGAAACCTAAAAAATTGGTATAGTACTCTTCTAATGTGATGAAAAAAAGCTACTAAAAACTCAGCAAAAGGGAAGTGTCGAGTTAAAAACAATCTGCGTATATGAGCTGAAACGATTTCATCTATATAGCGTTCAAAATAAGTGTCAAAATCTGGAGATTTGTAAATTTCAATTCGCATCAAATCACGTTCCACATCCAGTTTAGTAAGAATATCCCGCATATCGGTGATCAAACGAAGTAAATAATAAAATACGATGCTTGAAATACGTCATACCTCTAAAGATGAATAGAAAAAAGGTTGTCTTGAAATGTTCACGCAAACAACGATTCGTGAAATAAAAAACACACATACCTGTTGAATCCTGGCTTCTGGCTCCTGAGCGCTCCAGGTTGAAGCAATGCTTCCAAACAGGAGGCTTCTAAAAAAGAAAAGCAAAGTAAATGTTAAAAAAGCAAATCAAGCATATAAAACGAATCGCAATCACAAACGTACCTTGTGTCAAACTTGCAGTTCACGTAGAAAAATCGCACGAGTCAAAACTTCTTACTGATAAAGTAATCAAAACGTAGTCAAAACGTCGAACCAACAGTTGATGCTTCTGCTTTGAACACAAGTTGAAGAGTGAAAAACGTCTCGACTACGTTTTTAAATAAAACAGAGCCCTTAAGGGAAAACAAATAAACAAATTTGAAGTTGCCTGAGGCTGCCCAAACCCTTAGGGAAATCGTCACCAATCAGAGGTCAAAGATTTTTCTTGAGACGTTGTCCAAATTCCATAGAGGGATCGAGTGATGGCGAAACAAAAGTTAGATGAAGTGGAATATGGGGATGATGGTATTTCGGATGACTTATTAAACGAAATTGGAGAGGTCTTTGAAAATCAATATGGTAACGATGTGACAGATTCGCAAATGGTTCAATTTGGTCGTGAATTGGATCAACAATAACTAGATGCCCTTGACATTTCTTTGGATGAACACCCTGAGCAAATTGGTAGTGGTATGCCCTTGTTTGAATTTGATTTCCAAAAAACTGGTCTCCCGAATGAAGGAGGAAATTAGCGGCGAATCAACAAAGATATCGAATGTGATAATCCGAATGTGCTCACCCGATGCGCCAAATTCCTTCACAAGCAAGCTGATGTTCCCGAAGGCCCTTGTGGGCGTGCCGAATGAGAAAAGTTTTAACAGTACCTGGCGCCCGACTACCAGTTGAAAGTGATGACCACATGCTATCCATATTGCATTACATTTCAAGGAAATGTATAATGGCCAAAGTACATCATCCACCTCCTGTATCAACCAGAGTACGAAAGCAATATGGGTCATTACCATGGATGTACGTCTTACCTCGGACTCCTGGAAAGATCGTATTTTTGTGACACGTGCAACAAAGGCTTTGACCATGACGACTTCCGCAACCACCCATGCGAGGGCCGTCACTGTAAAGCATGCAAGCAGAGCGAATGTGGTACCAAACCTCACGAACCCACTTTCCACTGCCCAGCCTACAACCGCCATTTTTACAGTCAGAACTGCCTCGCCTTACATCGCGCAAAAACATCTGCAAGACCCTAGTACGATGCGGTAACTCTTGCAAACAATTTCAGCCAGACCCCCAACAGCCACACTGTTGTTACTTTGGAAAATGCTCTATCTGTAAGGAGTACGTGGACCTTAGAGAACACAAATGCTACATTCAGCCCATCCCTAAACATGAAGATTCACCTAAACGGAAAACGAAAGCCAAACTCAAGAAGGATTTAAAAATAAACCCTGAGGCATCTGTGTACGCAGAACCACCCATCTTTGTCTACGTGGACTATGAAGCCATGTTCAGCGAAGACAGAACATTTGCATCTGCACTTAAACTTCCGAAAACGACACCTCCTACACGTTTTATGGCGACAATTGCAGTAAAAAGTTTCTGGAATTCTTGACGAACCTTACCGAAGATCAGCACAAAGTACCGCGCGAAGTCATCTGCATATTCCATGATTTAAAAGAGTATGATTCCATTTTCCAGGACAGGTCTTATTGGCTTACTGTTGTCCAAATCCCAGCAGCTAACTCTGTTCTTATAACAGAGCACATCAAATCAATGGATAGACTCAGTGTCCATTTATGAAGAATAGATAGATGGCCTTCTCTGCCAGTCATGGTTGTCTCCATTTAATCCATAATCAATGGGCAAATCACTACTACTGTCTAAAGTTATCTCCAGGTTTTCCATCCTGACCGTTTCCTCCTCTCCTTCTGCCTCACATAATGATATTTTGGAAGAATCACTGCAGCTATCAGTGTACTCAGTTACTGATGAAGCACTGCTAAGATTAACTAATATAATTTTAAAGAAAAATTCCACTAAGAAAGTGTTAATGTACTCTAGATGTGATATGCCTTTCAGAGTTTGTAGATAAAGCACAAGTTAGCATTGAAATGGGAACTTTACACATGTAAGTTGATATAGTTGACTGTTGGTGACAATCAATTTCAGATTATAAATTTCTTTAAATTTATTTCATGGTTAAAGTACATAAGCGCTTTAGGATTTTCCTCTCCCATTAAAGATAGTTTCTTCAGTATCAAATATTTGCAAAGTCCTGGTGGCTATTTTTTCTAACTATTGATGGTCCAAAATATGAGATTATTTCACAACTAAAATAAGTGATAAATTTATGTTAATTGTATTCATTTATACTTGCTAACATGATGCAGCTGCAGTGGACTCAGAACAGTTATGATATAGAGGAGTTCTGGTCTGAGAAAATATATTGTGGAAGTAGATAGCAACAAATGAGTTCAGTAAAGGTGACATACAGTGGTGTGCCAATGAGTGAGCAGAATTTCCCTTTTTATCTCACAGTTAGTTTAACTGGGAAGGGGCATTTAATATTTAGTGATATGTAATGTTCAAGTCTCATCTGCATCAGTGACAATTTTGAAGTAATGTTATGATGTATAACTGAGAACATCAATATTGTTTTTCTACTCGCCACTAAAATAGACTTAATCCTGAGGACCACTCATTGTCACTCTCTGTTCTCAGGAATAGTTAAATGAGTCTGACAAATAGCTGAACCCTGCATGGAGGACACACCATTACCTTTTACACTCATTTTACTTTCAAATGTGTAATGTATTGATAGTATTGTTTAGCGGTAGTTGTGTTAGAGGAAGTTCTCGGACATTGAAAACGTGCAAAGGATCATCGATAGTCGTGTGGGCCATGCTTTCCGGGTGTCATGGCGGCCAAATAAAGTGTAGTTTCTTTCTATAGTTAAATCTAGTTTATTATACGGCCATCCGGGTGACATCGTTACATTGGTGACGAGGATTCAATTCCTTTTGTGAGGTAGTGGATTTTTTTGGAAGTCATTTGTGCGGAAAGTCCTAGCATTTTGTCAGAAAGGTGATGGACAGTGGAACCAGTTCGAGTACAACTTCAAGTTCACAAGCTTCACCAGCTGTGACGTTTGTTCCTCTTCTTGATGTGGCCAGCCTCTCCCTCTTCAATCCAAAGGAAGATCCGAATACCCTTGCAATTCGCTGGAAGTTGTGTCAGGAGAGTTGGTGGATCAGTTTGTTTGTCAGTTGAGGCAGAAAGCGATCTCCTGCGAGTTTGAGAATGTTGATGAGGCAATAAGGGATAAGCTTATTGAGAGATGCAGGGATCCCAGGCTTTGCTGTAAGTTCCTTGAGAAAACAAATGCTACTCTGAAGGGTTTACAAGATTTGGCTCGTGTGAAGGAAGCAGTGAACATGCAGGTCAAGGCTATGGATTAGTCATCCGGTCAGGTGAATGCTGTTTCTGGCAAACCTCACAGCAAAGGAAAAGGAAAAAGGACAGCACAGGGTAGAGGCAGAGGAAATAAGCCTGGTAAACCGTCTTGTGCTTCTGAGGAGACAAAAGTGAGAGACTGTTTTCGCTATAATTACACTGACCATATGGCACGTGACCAGAATTGTCCTGCCCGTAGCAAGAAATGTAATGCATGCGGCGAGATTGGACATTTTGCAGTCTGTTGCAAAAAAAAAAAAGGAACGAAAACTTTCCGCAACTATCAGAGGATTCAGCCACTGGCCAACAAGATTATTATGCATTTGCGGTTGGTGTTGGTCAGCCTACAAGTGGTAGTGAAGTAGATTTGAAGATTGGAGGAGTGATGTTACCCGCGGTACTTATTGATTCTGGCGCGTCATGCAATGTGATTGACCAAACAACCTGGGAAGTTTTGAAAAAGAAGACTGTTCAGTATGAGTCCAAGAAATCAAGCAAAAAGTTGTTCGCTAATGGGCAGAAAGACTCTATTGAGATGATCGGGACATTTGTGTCTGAGATTGTGTGCGAGATCAGTGGCAACAGTTGTGTGGACAAATTCACAGTGGTTAAAGGTCCAGGAAGGCCTCTACTCGGAAATAACACTGCAGAAAAGTTGGGCATGTTAAGGGTTGGTCCAGATGTGTGTTCATTAACTGCTGAAGGAAGTGATGCAGACATCCGTGAGAAGTATATAGAGGTTTTTACAGGGGTCAGGAAACTGAAGGATTTCCAGCTGAAATTACATATAAAAGACGATGTCAAGCCTGTTGCACAACCCGTACAGAGACTGCCATTTGGGTTAAGAGCCAAGGTTGACAAGAAGTTGCATGACCTGTTAGCCAAAGACATCATCGAGGAGGTGTTACACACAACACAACAACACACACAACTGAGTGGGTGTTGCCATTGGTTGTTGTCCCAAAGACAGATGGTGACATTTAGATTTGCGTGGACATGGGGCGAATTCAGCAATAGAGAGGGAAAGACATCCTATCCTTACAATCGAGGAAGTCTTGTACGACCTTAATGACTCGACTGTTTTCTCAAAGCTCAAACTCAAGTGGGGCTTCCACCAGGTGGAACTTGATGGAAGATCGCGAGAGATCACAACGTTTGTTACACACCTCGGTTTGTATAGGTACAAACGTTTGATGTTTGGGGTAACATCAGTGCCTGAAAAGTACCAGAAAATTGTGGCGGATGTTTTGCATGGTTGCGAGGGAGTGGCTAATTTGGCAGATGATTTGATTGTGCATGGTTGTGGCATAAAGGAACACGACAGGAATTTACATGCCATACTGACCCGATTGAAAGAGAAAGGACTGACTCTGAATGGGGACAAATGCCAGTTTCGTCTTCCCACGCTGACATTTTTCAGTCATGAACTGAGCAGGCAAGGTGTTGCGCCCAGTGAAGAGAAAGTAGCTGCCATCTTAAAGGCAAGCCCTCGACAAGATGCTTCACAGTTCAGATCATTAGTTCAGCTTGTACAGTATTCTGGAAAGTTTCTTCCCAACTTCGCACAAGAAGCAGAACCACCCAGGAGCCTCCTGAGGAAGAATGAGCCTATCATCTGGGGTGAAGCACAAGAAAGGTCCTTCCAGAAGTTGAAACAGCTGGTCGCATAGGCCACACCGCAAACAAGCACTGGTGTTACTGCGTTCCTCATGTTTGGCAGAGAGTTGAAAACAAAACTTCCAGAGTTGAGGTGCACTGGTAACCTGTTGGACGAGGGGGTCAGAGATCGGGATTGGAATCACAAGTTGATCCACAAGGAACATGCTGACAACAAGTGAGGTGCCGCCTAAAGCCCTGTAGCGCCTGGGGATCTGGTTTTACTGAAGAACATGAAAACGTCTGGTAAGCTGGAAGCAAATTTCGAGTGAGCCATACACAATGCAGACTAAAGAAGGCAGTGAGGTGACTTTTAGGTCCAAGGAGGGTGTGGAATATAAGCGGAACAGTGCATTGGTTAAGCGGTACAACCCAGTAGGGGAATTACCAGAAACCTCAGAGGCCGTTTCTCAAGAAACACCCAATACCCTTCCACTGGAGGAGAGTATAGCGACATCAAGACTACGGCGGACTGTCAGAATGCCGGAGAAGTACAAGGATTATGTACTTTATGAACTCTGTTGACACGTTGGACTTATGTTGAAGTCCATTAGATTCGGTTTCATGTTACTAGATTTTATTGGACAGTTTTTTTGAGATAACTCAATGCGAGCGGAACAGTTTTCATGCAGATTTATGACTTTTTTTGCTGTTATCTGTTTTTTTCTAAAGAAAGGAATTGCATTGCACCAGCAGATCCGATTATAGGCTTAAGTGATTGCATTTTCCTCTGGGAATACTGAGATGACACTGTAATTGCTCTTAGAATCTTGTATAGGTTATTAAATATATTATTTCTGGAAACATTCAAAAAGGAAATTAACCATAAATCTTATCAGAACTGTACACATCTATAGGCCTCCTAGATGTGTTTGAAACGCCTGGTATTTCTCTTAGAAATGATTTAGGCTAGGCTAGACGATGACGATAACGATGATGAAGACAATGAATTTTTTTTAGTTGTATTGATGCAATTTTATAGCTATTTGTACCACTTGCCAGAAGAAGCATTCTGCGTGACTCTTCGGTTTGGGAGGGCACAGTTCCACCAAAGGTTCAGTCAACGAAGCGGCGGATTCTGAGAGGTTTGTTGGATATTTTGATGTTTCTAGGATACCTCACCACACAAGGTGTTTATTCGCATACCATGTCATACATTGAAAGCGCACGCCAAGCACGAAACTATGACAAAGATTGTGTTGGTGGCTCCAGATTTAATTTTCTATGGGATAACACAATTACCCCTCTTTTCCTTTGTGAATCCCTATCTTTAATGACTCGTTGCTTCAAACGAGAGACGGCATGAAACATATTGAACACGTTCAATATAATGTCCGTTCATACCGTCATTGTATTGTTTTATCTTATAGAGCGGCCAAAGCTGATGCAAGAACAGCCATAGGAGCACATGCTGCTGAAATGGAGACGCCATTCCGTCAGATTTCTACCCCTAATAGGAAACCCTTTTCCAGTTCCTATTGAACTCCAGCAACTCCTGAAGCAACTTTCCATCAGACCCCCGAAACAGAGATTCTTGGTACTTACAATGCTGCGATGGATGAGGTTGCCAGGGATATTGCTCGCAGGCAACAGCTACTACCATTACAGCTTGTCCCGCGGGAAAAAAAGCAGTCCAGCCCAGCGACAATTCTACATGAAGAAAGCGGTTGAAGACTGTATGCTCGTATGCAATGTGAGGGATTAATAAGCTGAGTCTTTTTAATGTTTCACTGCTTAAAGAAATCTTTACTTTTTTGAAGTACCATTTAAATCAAGAGACACGAAAAAAGGCCTAATCGAGCAACTGATGTCCTTTACACAAGAATTTCAATGCTTTAATGAAGTTTAACACACGGGTCATAGTTGGGATGACTGTAAGCTTGGGCGGTAAACCAATGATAGGGCATTTAGAGTGAATTTGCATAGAGGAATTATTAACCAAGTGTTTTTCTTGAAAATTTAAGCCATGTTGTGAAAAAATGGCAAAGAGCCAGCTACTGAGCCTGTCAACAGTCTCCTGCATTACACCATAACACTTGTCAATAGAGGACGGTTTACAGTGGGCTTTAAGGGTGATATTGGTGTATTGGTGGCACTTACTGCTGTCCTAATCATTGACATAAAATTTTAATCGTAATGGGCCAATAATTGACACTTATAGAACACCAAAGGTTACTTCAAGCTTGATAGACTGGTGGTCGTCAAACTGCACAAGCTTTTGGAGCTCAGTGAGGTAGCTGGCAATCATTTCAGGCATGCTTAGAGAATCAAGCCAAGGTATCAAAGGTGGGGAAAAGTCTGCCGTCATTGCAATGGCTCTTCACTAGTTGAACATGTTATTATTAGCTGAAACTAAGTATGAATAATAAATTTAAATTGCGCCTAAAATAACCGATCTCGAACAAACTAATCTTGAACGACATTGAATAAATTTCAACATAACTTTGAATAACCTGAACAAATAACACAAAACAATGTTTATCAATTATATAGCAAACAAATGAAAAGAACCTACAAATTATCTTATAAAACAAAAGACATTACATTATAACGAAAACTTACAGACGAAATGAGTAAAAGAATAAAAAAAGATCACATAACATTAAATAAGCACGATCAATGAATTAAATGTTCTATTGTTCAATGGTGATTTCTCCTTTCTCATAGCTGAGAGGTTCTCATTGTTTATTGCCAGCATGGCGATAGTAGTTGAGTGATCCCTATGAGATGCACTGATGTTACCTCCTAGAATTGCGCTGCTTGTAAGGTATGCGCCTTTAGTCAAAGAACAACGTCTTGTAGACTTAAGACGTCACTGGGAGGATAAAGATGAGATAATAAGGATAAGCACAACTGAAAGTTGTTAATGCCAGCTGTGTGTTAATGGACAAGTAAAGAAAAATTAAAATTTGGCTATTAAACAAAACATTCTACAAAAAAATTCCATTTCCATTCAAGTTCCATTTACTGATCCTCCACCTTTCTCACCAGTTCCAAGCCTTCCACGATCGTTTTCGCTTCAGTCAGTCAAAATGGCATGCACTCAGATGTGCGAGTGTTCAGTGTGCCATTTTCTAGCTTTGGATTTACATAATTTTCCCCACCACGATTGTGGCTCATATATGAATGGTAGGTGAGATTTGTAGCTTACTTGGAGCTCTTTGAGAGCAAGTGTATCTCGCGTAAAAATTATGTCGCATTGCTCTCCAAGGTGTCTGTATAAATTTGCAAGAATTTTTGAGACTCTTTGTTTTCAGCTACCATCTCTTCCGTTTCAACTGGGCCCTTGGCAAGTGTAACCAACCACGGTGATGCAGGGTTGTTGAAAATTTTGGACCGATCAGAAGATACAAATGTAAGACTTCTCATAACAACATACGCAGATAACAAGCACATGTTTGGCGGGAAAGGGACGAAGAAAGATGTGTTCGAGAAAATAGCCGAACAGTTCACCAAGATATCTGGTCATGTGGTCACTGGAGAACAGTGCATGAGAAAGTGGGGAAAGATAACATCAAAACAAAGGAAATAGAGGATCAAAATAACAAGAGTGGGAATGACAAGAAGACTTGGAAGTTATATGATGAACTCTCCGGTTGTCCTGCAAAGGACCCTACTGTGAGTCCCGCCTGTACGCTGGAGAGTAGCATGCAGTCAAATGACCATAATTTAGTAAATGGGGGAAGGTGAAAGCTGTCAGAAACAAACACACTTAAAACCAATTCTAACAGTTTATTACTTAAAGTATTCGATGCTCCTTGCAATATCTTGTTGGTCGCTTTATTTCATAGAAATATATCATTGGAGGAAAAGCAAACTAAATAATTTTAAATGCTAGTTGTTGATGCATGTTTCCGTTAATATCTTGGTGCTGCACAAATGCTGGTTGGCTGTTACAAGCTATCTTGAAATATGTAATAAAATACAACAAAACGAGCAATGTAATACTCTATGAGGGACTACATGTAAATCTTTTCAGTGGGTATCCACCATCACCAAGAAGATGTGTGTCCCCAGGGAACTTACCTGAAGCAGTGACAAACAGGGAAGAATTTCTGAGGACCCACGAGTCATGAACTGAGCCTGGCCAACCCACTAAAATGTGTCTGAAAACCATGTTGTCATCACACACAATCTGTTGCGCATCAAGAAAATTAATAACTCGTTTTGTTAAATGAAAATGTAAGTCTCGTTCATGTCCCCAGACTAAAGTAACGTTCAGAATTTTTTAGTACAATTCAAATTGCAATAGCCCAAACAATATATCTTTTTAATTTAACCAAGAAAAATATGATTCTCACTTGGGCAACAATGGAATGGAATTTCTTTCTGTTTACATAAGCATCTGGTTGCCTTACTGGAACTTTGATTCTTATGTGAGTTCCATCAACTATCCCAATGATTCTTGGAAATCCAGGACGTCCCTGTGCTTCAAAGTTTCCCATTATTTCGTTCATTTCATTCTCTGTTGAACGCATCAGATAATGGTGTTGTACAATTTTAAATTTGAGGCAGAGGAATACAAAGAGCTTGTGTGAAGCTAGCTAGCTAGCTGTCTCCTATTCAGGATGGCAACATGAAGGTTTAACGAATAAAGGAAGCTAAAAATGTCAACGAATATTTTGGTCATGTAAAATGAAGCCAGGAAGAACAAAACAAGAGAGCTTGTTAACTTTTTATTATAAGAAACTATTTAAAAATTCTTTAAACAATTTCTAGGCCGAAACTTCTTCACAAACGTTTTAAAAATAACATAAAATGCAACTTACTGTTGGACTACTTGATGCATTGGTGTTTCAAATTAACTAGGGCTCTGCAAAAGAGGTGAATGATCCTGTTTAAACTACTCAGAGTTATGTCAAACCTGTCGGACACTGAACAGATCACCTCTGAGTTCGCCATAAACCATAGGAACGCCAACACTTGTTTACGAAGGGGAATTGGAGTCTGTCCAAAAGCCTGTTATGGTGGGATCCTTCTTGTGGCTTGCACTTCTCTGCATATAGCTTCCATGGTGAACCGTGCCATTCTGAAATGACTTTTAAATTCATCGATCGAATATGCCGGCAAAGAACATTCATAATAACCTTGATTTCTGATTAGGTTACGTCTCATGAAAGTGGCAACTGCTGAGAGGATATTCATTTCAACATCATCTACTGAATTTATCACACCTTCTTCATCTATTGAAAATTCTAAACTCTCGTGCAGCATCAACATCTGAGCCGCCATTTCGAATTTTCGCGGGAGATATTTTACGATACGATAGAGCAACAGAAAAGGGTCTGAAAACGAATAAGACTTCACTTAAATGGAACACACTCATCCCGAATGGAACTTCCCAACGGGATATTGCCGAATTTTATTGTAAATGGTAAACAACCCTTGTTCTCCACCCAACAAATGTCCCTTGATAACAAACTTTCTAGCAAGGTATTGGAGCTATGTAAAATCTTCAACCTACTAAGTATACACCTCCACCAACATATGCAAGGAAAAAAACATGCTAACAAAGTCATTAAATCTTGCTACGCTACTTTATCAGTTTTGCAAAGTTCAAGAAAATAGCTCCCTTTCCAGTAAGGAAGCAACTTACCAAAAGTCTTGTGGTTTCCAAGCTGGACTACAATGTTCTGTGTGCTTTCCCCTGCCCACGCATCTTATTAAAGGGCTTCAGATAGTACAGCTGGCAGCTGCAGGATAAGTCCCATGATGCTATGTCAATGAAAAAGACAAACCAACTAAAATGGCTCCCTATCTCTGAGCACCATGACCACCAACTGGCACACCTTGCAGACAAGGCCTTCGACTCTACCAACTGGCTGGCCTATCTACAACTGAGTCATCACCTTACCTGGACACTAAGGTTACTGGATTCATTACTATTGACAGTTCCAAAAGAGGCTCACACATTTGTTAGGTTGCTGGATTCATCACCATTGACAGTTCTAAAAGAGGCTCACATTTTAACATACTTGTGCATAAGTTTTTAATAGCCGCCATAAGAACTCTAGGAACATTACAGAAAGCTGCTTTATTACGAGATGCAATAATCATTTTAATGCTGTTGCAAAAGATGTCAATAACTTACACATTAACTCAACTATTTTTAGCAAATTACACTACTCATATACATTTATGCATAAATATATATGGAATATCGCATTAACACTACCCAAATGGTATTGAATTTAGTTTCGGCTAGACTCATAGTGTAATTTTCCTCCCTAGGTATTGTTATTCATGAGATGGTAATAAGGTATGGAGAATCGCTCTGGCCTTCCCAAGCCTACACCCACACTCATATGAAATGAACAATCACACACCCTAAGAAAAGAAACACAAAGAACTCTTTAATCCTCTTTCCAATCCTTACTTAATACATACTATATCTAATCATTAACAATAACCTATACTATAATAGTTCAAAACTTCATAAAATGAATTCATGAAAAAGCTTGGGAGAATCCCACAAGATGATCCTGATGTTTGTAGTCCTGCCCGCTTTTAAAGGGAAATCCGCTAGTTTAGCCGCCACGCCTGCTGGATTCACTACTTGCTTAAATTTGATATAGTGAAGCGCCGTCTTACTAGATTTCCAGCCAATGTGGTCCATGATTTCACTGAGACTTACGCTTCGCAATGCTAAAGATACAGCCGCCCCACTGCGAAACCCATGAACTGTTAAATGACTACTAGATAACTTCCCAACTAGCGCGGAAACATAAAAACTCAATCGCGCTTGGGCCGCTGAAGACTCCAAATGGCTGAAACAAACTCCGCCAGATTTTGAAATAGAGCGAAAAAGGAAACCTGGCGCAAGGTTAATACGTAACAGCTTACACACATCAAAATACATTTCCAAACCCCGGACAGGACAAATCAAAGGATTAGATCCCCGCTTAAAGGCAAACACATTTGCGTCACCTGACCTGAGAGACTTTGTCCAAACATGATTGAACAACAAACCAGAATTATCCGAGAAACGTAAAACATCACATACTTTTACTTGTAACAAATCAGCTGCTCTATCACCAGCAAAAAATAATGCCTTAAATAAAGCCTGATTGCGGGCATACATAAAAATCTGGATTACGCGCAAAGTCGAAGAATGCAACAAAAGGGCTCTAATGTATTCAGAGATAACCAACAAATCGTTCACTAAGATAGGCTCTGCCTGGCGTGGAGTTACCCTAGCCTTTAGTTGTTCTTCCCGCACATTACTCAAATAATTCTTAACTGACCTACAAGAAGCTGGATTACCTACACCTAACAAAGACTGCCATTCTGCGCCTCGACCACTCTCTGCAAATATAGCACGCAACTTGCCAATCAGTGAATCTATAGTCCCAAATGCCAAACGTTTAAAGCACTCACAATCTAGCCCCGCATTACCTCCCCAGGTGTGACAATCCTGTCTATGAACTCGTGTCCTTCCCTTTCCATCCTTCCACACAAGGAACGCAATAACATCCGAAGGAAGCGCTGACGACAAAGACTTGGGGACTGACAAGTTTCCCAGAAAATTTATAAACTCCAATTCCAGAGCTGATTTCTGTTTAGAATAATGAGACGAACTACGTTGCTCATTCAACTCGCGTACTCGTTGGGCAATGCTGCCTTCATTAATATCCAATTTCTTTAGTGGTCCTTGGATTGTAGCACGTCTAACATAACCACATTTCTGACAGAAATTGAAATCCTCATCATTCGGATGTGAGCATCGTGGGCACGCAACGCAGGGAGTGAATAATTTCGGAACTCTAGGCAATGTCTGTAGGGAACAAAAACGAAACAAACAATGAGCCCGACTCTACACCTAGAACCGAGACACACGAAACGCCCACATAGAAAAGGGACAAGGTGTTGGACTATAACCCAACTTTGATGGGGATAGCAGAACACTCAAGTCACCCTGTGTACCAAGACAAATTTTTCCAGAACACCTTGCGTTCAATTCAACCCACCAATAGCGATGAGGAACAAACTCTGGAACCACAATAGTGAACGGGATCTTAAGACTCAAGAGAAACTTCGACAGTGGACCAATCAAAGAAAATGGCGGGAAGACATAAGGATTGGACATGGATGGAAAAACCCGCAAGTCTTGACTGAAGACATTCACACCATTGGAGTCTGGGCTTGGTAAAAGGAGTAAAATGCGGCAAGGAAAACCCATCTTTGTTCTTCATTACATTTGAGTCCAAAGACATCAAGTCAAACGAATGACCTTCAACTCCACCAAACTCTTTATCGACCCTCTCAAAAGCTGACATTGACAATTTGGAATCCACACGTGACATTGTCCTAGACGGAAAATCGGCCACATTTTCCTTAGATGGTAAATAGGATAAGTTCAACTGAACATTATGAGAAGATAGAGCAAAATAAAGTCGTTTTGTAGCTGACGTTAATTGGGGGGATCTCCTACTGCCAGACCCCTGCCACGCACCTAATACTGCCATACTGTCAATAGAAGCATCAATTCGGCAATCCTTAATTACGTCAGGAAGAGCTTTAATGGCATACAACAAAGCCAACATCTCCTTTGTAGAAATATCGAGACAGTCCCTCTTGACTCCAATAATCTTGAAAAATCTGATCATCCGAAGGTGAAAGAACTGCACAACCCCACCCATAACCGGACGCATCGGTAGAAATCGCAATACGCACATGCTTCTCGTCTCTCCACGGAAGAGTGTCCTTCCAGTCGTCAAGGTAACGCCAATGCGAAATTTCCTCCCTCAAAGCATCGGTCATAGACACTTGCCCATCATCCAAGCCAGAAGCGATCACTCTACTCATTTCTCTAATGAACAATTTCGCGGCTGGAACAGTCAAAGAGAAAGATATGCATTTCCCCTGAAATCGTTGTAAAGTTTTGATCCAAACAGTTTTCTTGCAGGCAAGAATTTTCTCCCTAATTAAGGCCCAGGACTCAATCTTACGGCGCGGCACCAAAAACAATTGTCGAACGGAATCCACAATCAGACCCAAATACCCCAGGGATGTGACTGGGACAAGAACCGACTTCTTGATATCAATGGTATAACCGAGATCAACCAACACAGAAAGGACAACGAATATGGCACCTGTAGCTGCCAGCAACCTGAACTGCAAAGATCTGTCCGCTGGTAATATGGACCAAGACCCAGTCGGTCGCAAAAGCTCTCCATTTAAGCGATCGTCTATATAGAGAGAACAAGGAATCCCTTGAGCTCTCAAGAAACCTGTGGCGGCCAGACCAATGGTATGATAAACATAAGGGGAGATTTTCCATCCGAACGGAAGAGTCGTACAAACAAACCACAGGCCACCAAAACTAAACCCAAAGTATGATTGCGAGGACTCTGTCAACATTATGTGATCATACCCGGACTTGTCGTCGCACTTGGTCATGAACGATCCAGGGTAAACATACCTAGTCACTTCACTCAGTTTATCCAGGGAAAACGGCATATCTTTCATCCAAAGGTTTAGAAACCTCGCGTCAATACAAAGTCGAGGCTTCGTAGGTTCAACCGTGAGTGGCAACACAAGATGGAGGGGATCATCGACACCCACTACCCCCCAGACTCTAACAGCGCCAGTTAAAACACGATTCCGAATCTCCTTGGATATAAATTCCAAAAAATTTTTACAGTTTACATGGTTCGGGAAAATCTTCTTAGGTGGAACAGTAGACGAATATTTAGCTCTCTTGAAAACTCCCGCAAAAGGTCTTGAAAAAACTTAAGATGTCGACTTTATTTCTAATCCAATCTAGAATACAGTTCCTCAACGGATGACCCTCAAGTACCAGCTCCGAGGCGGCTGAATTACGGTGAAGACCACCTGCCACAAAGGAATCCGGATCCCTTAAATGTAAAGTCCCCAGATCTGGAACCTTACCAGATGAGATAACACTTTCCCAACACACAGCCGCACCCCCCTGAACGGGAACCCCAGTCATATCCACCCACAGGGTCTCGTTTCTTGGTTTAATTGCCGTTGTCTGTAGTTGAAATTCCGTAAGAACATAAAAGTTATCCACAGCAGCTTTACGCTTAGTACCACCCAAAATCTAAGGAAAAGAGGGCAAAAAAAGAGATCACCTATGAGAAGACCTGGGGTTCCCGAACAGGAGGGAGCAGCCTCAATTCGCCTGAAAACAGGTCGTCTGGTGGTCACCATATGTGATGAACCAGCAGGAGCTACTCTACCCCGATCCAGAACTTACAAGAGTGAATTAAAATTGAAACAACAACAGACACCGATTGACACAATGAAAAGGAAGCCTTTAATGCAGAGAAACATACGGCATAAATACTGGAAACTGATCAAAAACATTGGGAAAACGCCTTTATCCTGTCAATACATTCATTGTTTTTGAGGTGCCTCAACTCCTTGATTATAAAGGCGAGGCCTCTTAGACTGAAGGCCTGGCTGTGGACGCGAGGAACAGAACCTCTGATAATGCCGATATAGGCCACACTGAAAACACTGGACTTGTGATCTATCCCTGCCTCTCCCCCTTGGCATGAAACGATTTGCACCAACTCCAGGCACTCGCAACGCTTTATCTACGGCAGCAATCCACTTGAGTACCACTTCATCCTCCTTATCTCCTAAGAGGGCTTCAAGATAGCGCTTAAATTGCATGTTTGAGGCCCACATTTTATTTTGCATTGCTGTTAGCACTGCAGAATAAAATCCAGCTTTCGCATGTTTTGTTTCCTTGGCCACAATCTTCAGATTCACTAGGTAATCAATTGCCTGGTCCTTCTGGAACAACGGAGAACGTATTAGGTGCTGTAAATCCTCCAACACTGATTCAACAGATTTCTTTTGGGAATCTTCCAACTTCTTAAGTCTCTCTAAGACACGAGCAAGATCACCCTCCTCCTATATAACAGAATTCGAAAGGCAAGATAAAAAATCACTGATCCATTCATTTCCTTTCTTTACATTACGCAATCTCATAACTGATCAAGCACAGTATAATACAGGCTGAAAAAGAACAACACCAATTAGATTACAAGTTATGAAATATTACATTACATTAAGTTAGATTAAATGAAATAAAAATTAAATTAAATTATCAAAACCTCAAACTTCCAGCAATAACCATGAACGCTCCTAGCCTCACAGGCCAAAAAATGTTTTAAAAACACACAGCGGCAGAGCAATTTTTCGTTTTTTTTTTTTTTTACATACCGTACAACTCAAAGCTACTACACGTAAGCTTGCACAAGCAAATGAACGGCGACTGATGCTCAGGCATCACACTCCAACGAAGCAAAGCATGGCAACAGAACTTTCAACATCAGCAAGCAATTTCTTAAACGAGGGGCTACAAAGTAAAATTCAAGCCACAAAAAAAAAAAAAAAAAAAAAAAAAAAAAAAAAAAAAAGGCTAAAGGGGAAAAAAACAAATTTATTCTTGCGCGCCAGCATCAAACTACCACAACCGAAGGTGAACATAAAGCATTTCATTCCAAAAAACAAAATACCGAAACTATTTTCGACCCCAGAAGCACAAACAAAAAATTTTTAAATGACAGTGCAGACAAAGAAACTTTCATGGCCTCGCAAGCAAAGAAAAAACTTTGATCCCCGCAGACAAAGAAAACTTTAACAGCCCCGCAGACAAAGCAACTTTCGCGGCTACGAAGGCAAAGAAAATTTCTCGGCCTCCTAAGCAAAGGAAACTTCCACGGCCCCGCAGGCAAATAAATCCAAACTTCCTACACGGCCCCACAGGGGACGAAAACTTTAACGGCCTCGCAGGCAAAGGAAAACTTTCTGCACAGCCCCGCAGGCAAAGAAACTTTCACAACCACGCAGACAAAGAAAACTTACACGGCCCCGCAGGCAAAGAAAACTTTCACAACCCCGCAGGCAAAGAAAACTTTCACAGCCCTGAAGGCAAAGAAAACTCTCACGGCCTCGCAGGCAAAGAAAAAAAAACTTTCACGGCCCCGCAGGCAAAGAAAACTTTCACGGCCTCGCAGGCAAGTAACTTTAACGGCCCCGCAGGCAAAGAAAAAACTTTCACAGCCCCGCAGGCCTGACACAATTTCACATCTACAGAAAGTAAACCAAATCGAAACTCTACCGATAAAAATTAGCCACTGAAATATAATCAACCACATGGTATCCAAACAGAAAAAGATGCATACCTCTTGATTCTGAGCTTGTTGTGCCATAGGTTGGTCCTGAGCTTGCTGCGCCACGGCAGGTTCGCCTTGAGCAGGTTGAGGATTTTGAACAACTTGAGGATTTTGAACAACTTGAGCTATCGCTCTACCAGCAACGGCTTGGGGAACTTGTTCTGCCATGTTGGATTGATCCGTCGAAAAAAGTTATAGAACGTTTCAAGCAGTACACAGCCCAAGGCCTCAAGTGAAGTGACAAGGAGTGATACAAAACAATCTATTATATCCAAAATCCCTAGGGACTAATTACCAATGCTAATTGAGTTAGCATAGTGGACTATATTAACTTTACGAATTATAAATATTGTTTGTAGTTTTCAGATTGCGAATAAAGAGGCACACTAATGGTTTTGAGAGCCTGAATAAATAACTATTACTATTATTATTATCATTATTGTTGAATCAAAAAGTGCTGTTTTGTACCTTGAAGCTCTTACATGTAATAAAGGCTCATAAGCAACTTTTTGGCAGAATGATGCACCTTCTGTACATTGCTGTTATGAGATATGTACATGTTAATCTTTGTTGTCTTTTAAATGCGAATTAAAATTGTTCAAGTATTGCCATTGAACTGATTTGCGTATATCTTGGTCTCAGATAAGAAAGAAGAGTGTCACTACTCAAGAGTCTCTCCACGAGAGGACCAGGCAGGCGTGACACATGTCATCTCACAGATGATTAAGGTCATAAAGTTATTCAAGGGTCCAAAGTACTTTGGGCTCCCGGTTAATCCCTGGGGTACGAGGGCTTTCACATCAAATCCCAGGGATAAAACCCCGAAATTAGCCCTCAAATTGTACTTTCAAAAAAGATTACCCACACTAATAGAATGCCGTGGATTTTAATCTCATTTTATCCGACAATTCTTTGAACCTTAAGCAATGGAAGGTTCGAAGTTGGATTGATTTGAAATTATTCTCGGTAATCGAGAGCATTTCATAATAAACCATGTCACGCGAAAATTTAAAGAGACCGAAAATTAGGCTTTTTTAATTGCAAATATCTCCAATGGGCAACGTTACATGTCGATCAACATGTAATCACTGTAAAATCCAATCATAGTGCTATGTTTCTGACGAAAAAACGTTTTGGCCTCTGTGAGATATTCGTGATCACATTCCTCCAAAGTGCGTGACGGGCAAAGTTGATTTAAGCACTTTGTGACCACAAGCTGCTGGTTAATGAGCCGAATCAAATCGTGTAATGGTATATGTGACGCCAAATGTTTTGTTTTTGGCCTCTAAAAATTTTAAAAGATGTTTAGTTGCATGGCTAAGGCATTTAATTAATTATACTAATTCGTAGATATAATAATAATAATAATAGTCATTTATTTACTCATTTACAAACGATATTTACAAAAATACATTCTGTTAAAAAGACGAACTCAAATAAAAGCAACAATTTTACATCATTAAATATGTGTTTCTTACTTTCTTACAGTTTAAGTAAAAGACTTCACGCTAATCCGCCAGGGTCTGACTTTTCTATCGATGTACAACACGGAGTAGAAGATTTAACTAGTGTTATCTAAACAGTTGAACTATTTTTCCTGTTTAAAAAAAGACATGTTCCCGGCCTCTAAAATTAAAAAAATTCAGTTGGAAAAAAAAAAAAAAAAAAAAAAAAAACCTAAATATATATATATATATGTTGAGTCTAGGGAAGTCCTGCTTGACCCTTCTCTATTTCTAGATCTCTGTCCTTAACATCTAAGTTTCTCCTTGGGGTTCTCGATCCCCTTAGGCATAGGAGAGCGCTCCGCAAAATTGCAAAGGACACTTTCGCCCTGACCCATGAAATTGTTGTGGCATAGCTTTCTTGCTTTTTTGCGGATAATAGCTCGGCTAATCTTGAGTGGTATCTCAGGCATTTGTCAGCCATCCCTCCTGTCGTTGTAAATACCAATGGGGTGAATGTGCCTTGCTCTATTTCTGTGATGCGAGAGTCGTATTTTCGCTTCTTTTCATTTTCATGAATCCTGTAGATTTGCTTGGGGCTAAGATCTTTATACGAGTCCGCATTGGGATGACACACCCTTATATCAAAAAAAGCGGCCCTCTGTCGCTCCCAGAAACCCCTACAGTGGACATCAAGGTGTGCATTAGGGGATTGGTTAGCCCCTCTGTCAAGCTCTTAGCCTGTGATAGGTTGCAATGCCGGTTCAACTTGCACATCATAACAGACCATGTCGAGCAGCTCAGCCTGTAGATCGCAAATTTCATTGTGGCGCTGAATAACTAGGCCTCCATGCTGGCAGATCATCGCATGATCTACTGTAGACATGCTACCACGAAAGCACACTGACGGCTGATCAGGTATTGGCCAATCATATCGGAGCCTCACGGCATCACGAAATTCCCGCTTGTTGAGATCAAAATCCATGTCTTTGAGAGGAATAACTGTAAGCCAGTTGGATGCGCCTTTTTCACAGGCCAGGTCCACGGCTCTCTGTCTTGTCTGGCAATCTGGCCTTCACCTCCTCAAGCTCTTCTTTTAGCCCATTATCCTTTTCTTTCCGGGTGGCGTATACCAGTTGTTGTACCTCGGCTTCATCTGGGGTCTCGTGGGATTGCACCTCTATCTTACTTACAAGTGGAGCACTAACTCTAATAGAGGCTGAGTACTCCGCATCCACACTATCAGATGGATTTATGAGCCCAAGACCACCCATACGCACCGGCAATGCTACTAGATCGCGCTCTGCCTCAGAACAGTTACGTCCTATGAGCGATGGTATAAGCACATCCAAGATTGCACGCTCTAAGGGCTGCAGTTGGGTCTCGATATCCGGCAATGTTCTCATAAAATACGTCCACCGATGTCTAAGCCCAAATGTGAATGCTGCATAACTAGCTTGTGGCTGAGATCTTGCAAACTCCGCCAACCTCGTCACTTCTCCCACCCGATCTTCTACCTTGCCACCCACATAATGCTCAAGATAGGACCGTGAACCCAGCGCAGCGCCCAGGTGTTTGCGCCCCTCGGTGGTGATGTTAATACCAGTCCCTGCGAACATTTCCTTTGCGCGACCCTCCTTTTCCAGCTTAGCAACAAGCCAGCAGATTCGTAGATATTGACACAATTTACTGACAGTTACTAGTAAATCTAATAACACCGATTCGTGTTTATATTCTGGAAGTCAACAGCTAAAAACAAAGTATGCGAGGTATATTTTGTACATTTTGTTACTTTCCATACTTGTTAAATTTATTATCGAACGTAGGATGTACTTAAACTAATTTCCTTCTAGAGAAAAAACAGCCGTCATGTAAATTTAGGTGTGTGGCGTGACACGTGCTTCCGTCACATGTACTTACCTGAATTCGAGTTTTGTTTTCATTTTTTGCTGTTTGAAATCACGTCTCTTGTAGAACCAGATAGACACTAGTGGTATTCCTTGTTCTTCTGCCTGAGAATTAATACTTAATAAATGAAATTACTTAAACTGGATAGGGAATTAACAGAATTTGTAAGTAGGTAAAAGGTAGTCAATATCTTTCGAGTTTCAAGTTCTGCATTGGCTATACGAACTTGCTTTTTTGGTCTTAAGGGAGCTACGTTACGATATTTTGAGTCATTTTTACAGTCGTAAAGAGTTGCCTTTAGATAGAATGAAACCTTGAAATGATCGTTTATAGGGCAGAAAAACACCAAAGATGCAAGCACGGAACAAGGATCGCTATTCTTTAAGAATGGTGAATATAAAAAAGGATTGCAAATGACGAACTCGAAAAAAAAAAACTAGGCAAGTGTCTCATCCGGTGTTTGACGAGCAATTGATAATAAGAAAGGTAAAAAGATCGCAGTTAACGACGATGATTTTGTAAGAGGAGTTTCTTTTTGTTGCAAATCTACTATTTGCAATCGATATAAAAAGACATATAATGCCGACTAATTTATGTAGTTGGATCCCTTCTCCTTTTCCCTTTTAAAATATATTTTAATGTTTCTGCTACGAACTATTACAGGTATTTGCAAATTATGCCGCAGCGAACATGGTGCTGCTCTCGTCGTTGAACCCGCATCACCAGAGCTTCAGCCCTCTCCTGCTCCTATTGCAGTCAGCGAGCCTGGACCTAGTCTGTCATTACTCCGAGAACAGTGTAGTGAGGTAAATTTTCCTCTTTGCATTTTTGCTCGCTTTCTTAAAGAAAGGGAAAACGAACGCACCAGCAGTATATTATTTTTTGGGGGTAATGTACATTTTTTTTTAAATTCTATAGGAAATGCCAGAACCACAACTCCCAGCGGGGGCAGATGATGTAAGTTCTGAGGCACCTTCACACGCCACACAAGAGGTCGGTCCAGGGTAACATGAACTCTGCAACTTCCAGTGGAGTCAGATGATGCAAGTTCAGAGGCTTTTTCGTCCGCTTCACAGGAATCAGTACCTGAGGTTGAAACGTCGCTAGAATGGCAGCCAACTCCTCAAGTAAAGCATAGGCTTCACTTTCTGAATAACTTCTTCCGGAACTCTGCGGACGGAAGAGTAAGTCCCATTCGATCTCAGCTTTGTACAGATGTTTTGAATTTGTCCTCTTCCTCAAGTCGCTACTAGAAACGTAAAGCAGTGCAAGCAGTAGAGACAGTACTGGAGGCAATTGCGCCACGGCAGTCCACTTGTCTTTTCAATCGGGTTGCTGAGAGGTACAGCAGTGGAAGGGATGGAAACAGGCCAGATAATCAACTTGTTGGAAGACTCATAAAGCTCTATGAAGAGGCAAATTCAGGGTACACCAGACAGCAGATACTCTCTATTTTTGTTTCTGACCACTCGAAGTCTGAATTATTGACCTTAATTCCGGGTCTTACAAAATAGAGCATTGACGAAGCAAGAAAACACGCTTTTCTTAACAAGCCTGGTCAACAAATAGGACCACCACAGATCAAGCGAAGTAGATTGCACTCAGCAAAGGTTGGCCACTTTCTTGATTTTGTTTCCATTTCGTCTTTTTTGCAAGATGTCGTATACAGTACTAAAAAGTTGAAACTTTCCGATGGTGACACACTGGAAATTCCTAATGTGGTGAGAACTGTGATAGCATCGAGACTTGTCCAACTGTATACATTGTACTGTTCCGAGACTGGATTTCAACCTTTAGGTCGATTGACGCTGTTTGACATACTGAAGGTAAGTAGTTTCGAAAATAGAAGAAAGTCTCTCAATGCGTAATTAAGGCAATTCCATTGATGATCCTTATCAATTACTAAACAAACCGACTTTGCTCTGCCTACATTTTAATATTGTCTCTAAACCGTTAAGTTACCATAAATTTAGTCCTCAACTCTGGAGTAACATCACTACTAGTAAGGAGATCGATGTACAGAACGCTGCCTATGATTGATGTAAAGATATAGAGAAAACAGATATTGCATTGAACATGTTATTATTCTCACAGTTATGCCTCATTGCGTACATGTAGTCACTAGGTAGGTGTCCCCTACCAAGGGCACCTCGTGCGAGATAGTTTTAGACACAAGTAAAGTTCATCATCCTACTTGTGTGATGCACCTTCAAAAATAAGATAGATAGACTAACAGGCATGACATGCGTCAAATGTTGCAGTTGAATTTTTTTTTTTTCAAAAGGTATGCGCGGCTTCTAAAAAGAAATCACTCACAGGGCTGGTCAGCATTCAAACAGATGGTGTGTGTGCCTTTGCTACATAAGTAGAAACAGCAGAAAGGTTATGCTCACTTGGTAAGTAAAATCGTTAAAGTTAGCAAATGGTAAGGAAAGAGCAACTTACTAGACCGTAAATTTGTTAGTGAATTTCCTGGTAATAAAAGGTTTGAAAAATAATTTATCCCTTGTTATGCGCGTAAATAAAAGTTTTTATATCAGTTGTATAGCATCTGGTACTGCATGTATCAATTGTCAGGTTTATTTGTTATATATATATATATATATATATATATATATATATATATACATACTTTTTTAAGTCTACAAGAAGGAGGAACGAAAGATATGAAACGCCGTTTGAAAAGTGCGTGGCAGTATTTAAAGACCGATTACAAAATCCACTTAGCAAGGGAGAGTCCTTGTCCTGACTACTGCCAAAAATTTGCCTTGAGTAGTTCTGAACCAGAATTCCACAGAAGCTGTGGGCATCAGCACACGGTCAACTGTGATCGATGCGAGGATCTTCAGAATGTAATGGCAGACCTTCAGTTGGCATTTGACTCACAAGAAGTCAAATTCAGGTGGTTATATGTGTTTACAGTTGATACCATCTGGTTTCCTCACAACCTTCGTTTTGTTCTCGAATGACATGGAAAGAGTATGCAACTGAGGTCCACAATGTATGTAACTAGCGGTCAAAGATGACGTGAAAAATAACTGTCAATATCAGTGTCATATTGCAAAGGCTGGAACGCTTTTTTTTTTCATCTTCTTAAACTTTTATGAAATGCTTGAGAACTGAACCCTCTTTAAGGTTGTATTTACCAACTTACTTTCAACTGGAACCATGAAAAGAATTTACCAAACAATATGCAAGTTTTCAAGTCTCAAAAGAGAGCATATTATCTAAGTCATATTGTTATACGTCTTTTAGCAGTAAAGACCAGCTGGAAGAGTTACAGTACGATATGGATAAGGCAATTCCTGATATTGATGGATGGAAAGCGCATATCCTCAGGGAAGTTCACCAGGACACTGCAAAAAGCGCGGTTATCGAAAACCTGGCCAATAACCAAGTACTCATCATTATGGACTGGGCTATGAAATTTCTCCCAATCGGTTACCGGGAAACACAACGAGGCTGGTTTGGGAAGAAGGGAAAGTCATGGCATGTTTCTGTTGCTGTCCAAAAGGGGGATGACGGAGAAATTGAGGTAGAGTTTCAGTTGTGTCTGGGTGTAATGTAACTAAGGTCAACGTCTAGAAAAAAGAAAACCTACAACTGATTTATGATTAGTGTTCATCACGCCAGCGTAACAGAAGGAGTGATGAACTAATCTAGTAGTCATCAGACTAACTTAGATCAAGGCAATAAAGTGAAAGCGATGCCGCAACCAAGATATCTGTAAACGTTCTATCTGTGAAGAAGACATTGGCCAGAAAAAGCTGATTCACACATTTTACGTGATTTCTGGAATTAAAAATGTTGGTAAACCGGAAATGCAAGTACATGCTTTAAACAAATTCCCTATTGCGTAGGTGTTTCATAATATAGAGCTTCACCTCAACATTGGCTGTAAGCCTAATGGTGACGATACTAATTAGGTAATACAATCCCGTTTTTTCTCTAGACAGGAAGCTATATCCACCTTTTCGCTAAATGCACGCAAAACTGGTTTGCAGTGGCATTAATCCTGGAAAGTACGCTTGTGGCTTTAAAGGCCAGTTCCAACATCAGTGAAGCTTTTTTGCGATCCGATAACGCAGGGTGCTACCGCAGTGCGTATCTTATTCTGTCATTGCCAAGTCTCGGTAAGCGTGTCGGAATCAGAATCTTCCGTTACGACCTCGGCGATCCCCAAGCTGGCAAAGATGTTTGTGACCACTGTATAGCCACTCTTAAAAGTCACATGCGGCGATTTATAAACGAGGGAAATGACATAAACACCGCCAATGACATGAAGGCTGAAATGTAATCGTATGGTGAGGTAAAGAGCTGTTATGCTACCGTGGCAGAAATCCAAGATTCTTTTCAAAGTATGATGAAACATAGCATGACTGGAATTCAAGCACTGAACAATTTCTTGTTCGAGTCAGCTGGACTGAGAGCTTGGAAGGCATACAATGTGGGCACCAGCAGGTCTTTTTCGCTGGCACAGCTTCAGAAGTATGGTACTCCACAAGGTCCCACAGGTATCGAAGAATTTCAGCAATTTAGCCAACCGTTACAAGATGTCGGCAAGTTTCGTGCAGGACAACACAGGCCAAAGTTGTCGGACCATCAGTGCCAACGGAGGTGCAACTAATTCAGTCAGATGAAGCAGAGTCAGCAACGCGATCGGTCCCATCCTATTCCTGCCCTGAACAAGGATGTGTCAAAGTCTACAAGGAATTTAAAGGTCCGGAGAAACATCTTGATGTTGGATGCCACCTAATCAAGTTAGGAAGAGAATCGGACTATGACAGCATTATAGCAAAGTGGGCAGAGACATGTAAAACTGTTACAGGAGACTATGTACAAGGTGAAGTTGGTGGTGCACCATCAGTGACAGAATCTCCATCAGTATCAGCTGACAATCCATCACTGGAGGAGAGTTGGGCAATGAAGAAATCAAAGTCAATCCGAGTTTCCGAACACGTTTGCTCTTATTTGCCGGAAACATTCTTCCAAGTAGAAGAAACCGGTGTTAACGCAAATCTCGCTGATATTGCATGTAAAATGAGGAGTCAAAGATCGTCAAATGGAGATAACTTGTTTTAAAAGAAGAATGGCTTTCAACACATCAAGCTGCAAGATATTTCAGCAGGCTGTCAGCCCTTAACAAGAGTGGTGTCTTAAAGCGAAATGTAAGTGCTTTCCAAGAGGAAGAAGAGGAGGTTGATTAGATCAGCGAAGTAGAAGCAATGGAGACAAGGTTCCAAACTAGAAGGGAACTAGAACTTTAATTTAAAACGTGTATTTTATGTATAATTGCGAAGTAATCTCTCTTTAGTTATGAATAACCTGCAAAAGGCACTCATGAATACCATGAGGTAAAAAGTACAATCTGTAATATCTGGCGAGGAGCCTGGCAAAACAGTGAAAAGCAAAATCCTCTACATTTGAGAACCACAACGCTACTAGCAACCCCTTACCACATAACATATATAGTAATGCGAATTCAATTGTAACTGCAATGAAACGTGGAAATAAGCTCATGTCCATTAAATACAAATGAGAGGCCGGCTCCTGTTCTAACGTGAATAATTGTGAGCAAGACTACTACTATGGGATACTCCACAAACACAGCCTCTCCAACTCCTCAAAGATCTACCCACAAATCCTCACTTGCAAAGTTTTCCTCAACATATAAAAGACCTTCGTAGAAATCTGGTCAGCAAACACTTCAGCCTTCCAATGAGTTTCCTCTCAACTTCCAAACACTTTAGAATACAATTATATTTCATGCTTGTTTAGTTCAACAATAAAGAGTGAATGTCTCTAAAAATCAAAGAAAAATAAAAAAAATCGCGGACATGGTCAAAAATCGTTTTGTCTCATTTTTTGTTTACAGGTAGCTATAGGTACTACTTAAAGTGAAGTGAGGTTAGTTTGTGTAAATATTCATTTTTACGGAAATAAACCGTTACTAATTGCATGAACGAAAATGAGTGCGTGCGAGCTCTAAATTATGCAGTTTTCAGGCCGTCCTTGCATGAACTAAAATGCAACAGCAGGACTTCTTTAGCTGTAAACATATACATGTGGCCTTCCATTACCAAGGTATAGTGATATTTTTGTATCGTGTCCTTCCTGACGAAACCATGAGTTAATTACCAGTGTACGTGTTCGCCATTTTTAATTCATGCCAAACCTGGCCTAATGTAGTGTGGCAAAAATGCATGTAGTAGTTTCTCAAAATCTCCAGCAATACTATCACGAGGGCTTACAAGGTGAGTCTTCAAATTCATCGTTTCATTTTTCTGGTATCTTCTGCTGTTTTGATATACCAACTAACCAAACTTCGCTAAAATTGTAAATGGCACCATATTGAAATGAACAAAATCAACATTGCAATGACACACGCAAAGCATTGTTTGAGTCGCAGCTGCACTTACCTTTTTATGTTTGCTTTGACATCAATAGTTCCTTACCTTAGAGATCTTTTATAGGCCCTTGTTATTCCACTTGGAAGATATTTTCGAAATACTGTCCTTTGGTGTAAAGGGGGCCGACCGGCTTACTCATTGAAGCCACTGAGCCTGGATGAGTAAAATAAAGTTACTTGTTGCTGTCATTTCCTACTTCGTGTCGCAACCCAGTTACGTTTAGTCTATTTCGATCTTAATTTTGGCTTTTTTGACGTCCCACACTAAAAGGGTCCCGTACAAAACGGCAGGTAACGCTAGGGCTTTGCTGGATTTTAATTAATTTTTCATAGGTTCCTGTCACTCTGCGTGACATATGATAATCCGTCACGTAACGAGATCAACGAACAATTCATTCTGCCTCACATATAAAATCTAAACAAATATATTGCCATCGTGAACCAAAATGATACAACAAAGAAATAGACTTTACAAAATTTCGCAAATATAAAACGTACAGTGAAAACCTTATGAAACGAAAATAACGATACAATTTTCCCACGGAAAAACAGTGTGATCAGTTAACGAAAGTAAACAAAAAACAAAAGCGTAATAATCGTCGGTGAAAGGAATAAAGACAACGGTTGCTTTAACTCCAGCAGAAAAAGAATGTCTTGTTCTTTACTTGATATTGTTGGTGGCGTTTGTGGTGCAGAGGAACGCGTAAGGCATCAGTCCACTCAGATGGTATCTTTGTCATCATGCAGCAAGGATATCAGAAGCCACAAGCGTTTTTTACAATTTTCAGACAGAGATTGAACTTATCTTAGCAAGAAGCGGGATTTTCGAGAAGCCCGTCAATTTTTTGGAAATGACTGTTTGCCCTTTACATCGAGCCTCGGAATCGGATGGAGAAGAGCTAGTAGATTACGTTCTGTGCCACAGGATGTTTCCGGTCACAAAAAGGAATCTAAAGAAGTACCCGCAGCAGAAAGAGGAATTACTTTGCAGCACTCAAAATGTTTGAACTTACGAAAAACCTCGTACCCGTCGGATCAGGTAAGCGACTACAATGAGTCATGATCTTGTAAGAACTGACGTCCCTCTAGTTTATTCTCATTGTTTGTAAGGATAAACATCCGTATAGCCTCTCATTTCACGCAGGGTAGTTGGCGGGAATCACAGACTTCATATCCTAACTTCAAACCACTTCACTGTCGCGTAAAACAGTCGCCAAGTTTGACAGCAAATTTATTTTCATGTCTTTTAAGGATTTTTGCAAATATTTTTACGTCGGAAAACACTGGCGTTCACTCAACATTTTCGTCTCTTTCAAAACTTGTTCAAAACCAGTGATGGGCTCCTGTCAAAATTAATTAATGGCGTGGGGAACGCTCAAATTGAAATATATTAGAATTCCTTTTAAAAATGCCGGCAAAAAAGGAAAGGAATGTGAAATACTGACTCGCGACAAGGTTAACTACAGAATGCGTCATCAGTTTGGGATTTGTGGGGGTTTTGCCTAGTTTTGTTCTTTTGCCACATGCAGAGCTATTTGTTCAAGGAGGATGTGCAAGATTAAAAAGTATAAATTAACTCTTTCTCTCAAAATATTAAAGGAGTTTGTGTGCGATGTCGACAGTCCCTAGCAAAAATAAAAAATCAGTTACAGTCGCAGAGCTTGGGGGCCACAGTAGTGTGGAAAACATCACAGAAGGTCTAAGTGGTCTAACCTTGGTGAGTTTCTTCAAAGTGTTATGAAGAATTTCCATCCAATATAATTAATAAAAGTGGAAAACCTTAACGCATTCTCTGAATTCTCCCTTCTCCGCCCTTTTCATGCCTAGGGATTCAACCCAGGTGGGAGAAGGGCGTGTCCAGGCTAACTTGCATGCGCATGCTCAAACACCGCCATTGCCGCCCATCAACGACTTGGCAAAACCATACAAGGCACAAGAATTGGATAGGCGTGCCCTTCCCAGATAGCATATCACACTCCAGGATATATCCAAATAATAAAGGTTTTAAATTATTATATGGCTTCTCCACATTTTTTTTTCGAAATGCTACAAATGGAAAATAATACTGAGAAGTAATTGGATAAAGATATCAGGATAGGTTATTAGTCAGTTATATTATAAGGTGAATATAATTATCGACTATAAACTTCCGCCTTACATGCGAAACCCGCGCTTGTATACGGTTGATCTCATTTTGAAGCCATCCAAAGCAATGTGTTCACTTTTTCGTCAGGTTGATGAACAAGGGAGTGACTCTGATATTCCTGCCACTTGTGCTGTCACTGTTGGTGATGAAGCATTGCCAGAAGGTTTCACATCCAGAGGGCAGAGGCTATTTGTTCCGCAAGAAGATTGCGAAGAGAGTGATGAAAGCTCGAGTCTAGAAAACGAGTCCCAGGTGCCGCTAAATCGCTTCTTACACCTTTGAGATGTCAGTCCAGTACGTCACACGTTATCAGTGCCGTGGACTACAGCACACGAGCGTAATAAACGTAGATACCTACGAAAAGCTCAACAATGTATTTCTGCAATGCTAGATGTCCTGGCACCTGAAAATTTGCAAGAACTATGGACGGAGCTTTGTGATCGTTACGCTGTATGCAGCGACAGTCAGGTTGTGGTCGAAGGCAGAAGTGAAAAAGAGACGGACCTTCTTAATGCATTTGCTGAAAGCTACTTGAACGCACAACATTGGAACACCAGATGGCAAATACTTTCTTTGATGGCAGACAAGTTATCCCTTAAGGAGATGAGGGAGTTTATTCCAACCGTTACTAGCTATCGCTACAACATTACCCGACGCCACAGGCTGATACATGGAAGAGCTGCTCCTCTTCCAAACCAGGAGAAAAGGAGAATGAGAATTGAACCTGTAAAATTAGAACATTTTGTTTCTTTTATAACAAGTCCACACGTTATTCAAGATGTTCCTTTTGGGGAAAAAACTTCTGAAATTGTCGACTGGCGAGATCATAAAGACACCCAATGCTATCAGAACAATGATACCAGAGCGTATTGTTCAGCAGTATCAACAATACTGCTGTGAAACCTACTTTGAGCCTATGAGTAAGAGAACACTACAGAGAGTTTTGGCCGTGTGTTCTTCATCTGTTCGGGCGTCTCTGCAAGGACTTGATAACTTTTCAGCATCAGGCGTGGAAGCATTTGTTGCTTTTGAAAAACTCGTAGATAAGCTTGTTGACTGTGGCAAGACTCAGCAATGGGCGAGGGAAATTAAGCAGCAACTTCGTTTGTCGAAGCAGTACCTAAAGGGCGACTACAAAGTGGGTGCATATTTTATAATTATGCGTTGCCTTTGCAGAAGTGATGTAGTAAACTTCTTACTATGATTCACGGCTACCTCTTTCTCTCTCTCCAAGTCTTCTTTATGCTTAATTTATGAAACAACAGTTTAAAATTCACTGTAATACGCTTACACACATGTATACAACGCTGAGAATCGGTTAAGTAATCTTTTTGAAATGTCGATCATATGCGCATGTGTTGCTTTGCAAATATACACTGAATCACGCGCTTGTCATTTTACTTTTTATTTTAGGTACATGCAGTGGAGGCCTCAGAGGTTCCCGATCATTGTCGAATTTACGCGCTAAGTGACCCAAGCAATGCTGAATTTCGGGGCTCCTGCGACCATCTCTACAATGAGTCATGTGAACAGTGTTATGACTTACAAGAAGTATTGTGTACCATAGAAGATGAGTGTTCAAGTGTGCTCTCGTCAGCAGAAGATCAAGCTGACATGCTGCATACCATCAGACAGGCAAGGGATGATGATGGAAAGCCCATCAGCTACGTTCAGTCCACCAAGCTGAGGCAAAGCATTCAGTTTTAGCCAAACTCGACAGCCAATCGGTGCTGTTAGTCCAGGACTGAGCAATGAAATATATGGCCCGAAAATATCGAGAGGCGCAGTCAGATTGGTTTGCGAAGCGAGGATTGCCATGGCACATTAGCGTTGCCATAAGACAGTCAGAGGATTCTGAGCACTTTGAATCGCAAAGTGTGGAGAGCATTCAATGTGGGTTCCGGTAAAGTAGTGCCATGGGCCAAGTTCGAAGGAGTCATGAAGCAGCCCGAAAAATTGGAAATCCTAGACCCGCCATCGCCAAATCCAAGTGGCTCACCGACATTCAAGATTGTGGGACACCGACATATTAAGAAAAGCTCTGTCAAAGCAGATTTCTCAACTGAAAGCGAAAACCAAGATCGACGCTGTATTGGGGAATATAAGCCAGATGGCATGCTTTTCCCGTGTCCAGAAGAAGGATGTGTAAAAGTATACAGTCGCTTTGCAAACCTCCAGACACACCTAGATACTGGAAAGCACCAAATGATGCTCGAACAGGAAACTCTCTACGATAAAGCCAAAAGAGAATATTCTTCCAAGCTGACGGAGGGACGCAGTCAAATACCAAGCGTTCAAGTTGCTGCACAATCAAAGAGTGATGGCTTGCCTCCTCTTCCAATGGGTTGGGCCCTGAAGAAAATTAAGAAAAAGGTGCGTTTTACAAAGAAACAGACCGAATTCTTAACTGACCAATTTCAAAAAGGGGAGTATAGTGGACTGGAAAGCAATCCACAGGAAGTTTCGAAAACCATGAGCCTAGCAAGAGACCAAGCGGGGGAATGCCAATTTCAACCTGATGAAGTCCTTACGTCGCAGCAGATTAGTGGCTTCTTCAGCCGTCTTTCAAGAAAGAAGCGATTAGAAGTTACAGCTGCCAATAACGAAGCAAAACCTAGTGAAGTCTCAGAAGTGGATATGGAGAGCGTCGACGAGGACGAAATCTCCGCCGAAGCTGAGAAGCATCTATCTGCAGTGTGTGCAAATGTGATGAGAGATGTGGCTATTCAGCATCCGATTGTATCTTTCGATCTTAACATCTGCGAACTTGTACAAAAACGTACAATCACAACTTTAAGAGTGGATAGGCTAAGAGACATGTGCATCGACCACGGGCTGGATATTTCTGACATTTCACCTCAAAAGAGGAAAAAGCCATTCATCGCACGACTCACACAATTAGTCCAAGAGTGTACCTGCTCTTCCAAGTAACTGAGCACTGAACGTTTTACGAGTAACTGATCCACTGATCATAAAAGCGGTGCGTGTATTATTTACAAGAAGGCGTTGCGTGATAGCAGAGTCCTACATATCGGATTTCAGTCACTCGAGCCCACCACTGCTTGTGAAACATTCTTACCTTTGTGTTGGACGATTTTCAGTAAATTCGAAACTGGCGAGTGTAGAAGGTGCAGAGGGGATGCAAATGCTCGAATCCATGTTCACCAGATGAGACGTAAACGTAAACGAACGGCTTTGAGCCACATTTAACCTGTTGAGTGCAATTCAACTGTTTAACCTTTTGTGTGATGAATTATGCAGAATTATGGCATGATTCTCAGGGTAGCAAAGTCGAAAATTGTTTCTCCTGTCTCCGTAGATAAGTGTAGTTATAGACATTTTAATATGTTTCTAGTCATTTAGTGTGAAGACATAACTGACCAAAACAGTTATTTGTGTCCAACGCGTTTAACTTTGTTATTATGCATCTCATTATGGCGTCATAGTAATTTAACCGAAATTCGGCTGGTGGTCATCTTTTGATAGTCAAAGGTCCCATAGAAATAAAACCCAAATCGTAAAGAACTATCTTTCAAGGCTTCTTGGTAGTGTTATTGTAAACTTTGAGACACTACCACATGTATTTTTGCCAAGCTATTCTAGGCTACCTTTGCCTTAATTTTAAAAGGCCAAAGATGTCGTCTCTTAATAGGGATGTAGCTCTGCCAAGAATAACATAAGACAAAAACTTTCACTTTGCCTTGATAATGCAAGTCCAACTCAATATTTCTATAACTAGAAAAGTTCTTCCGTTACATTTTTGTTAGCATGACAAGTGCTTGAAAAGTTCATAATTTCAGGATCACGCTTGGTGAAATTTGAGCTATTTAACCTCGGAAATGTTAAAGCAAGTTATTCCTGCTAAAGTGCATATTTCAAAAATCTAACCCCATTTCCTTTTGTTTACTAGATAAGACTACCCACAGGCAAAAAATGAACCAAATCGATTTTTGACTGTGTCCGCGACTTTTTCGATAATCTGTGATTTTTATTCACATTTACTCTTAAAACACCAGCCAAATTCAAACTTTTTATAAAATAACGATTAAGAATATTTAGTACAGGAATTAGTTCAGGGGTTCTATATGAACACTGTAGCGTCCACTCATAGCTACTTGAAACTGTACTTTAATCAGTTGTTCACTTGCTAGTTCGTTTCTAATCTGCACATAACTTGTATTCATTCCATTCACAAATTGCACGTGAAAGGGAAAGATTCGCTGAAATAACAACAACGCGACTATTATAAAGATGATATTGACCGAACAACCGAAATACTGCATACTTACAAGTTATTGTGCCTTCTAAATAGAAAGGAAAACTTGTCCTAACGAAACGACAGTGTAACTCCATAACAAAACATGTGCTTTTCGTGGGAAAGAGCGCCTGCGATATTTTGCGTGCGGTCACCGAAGACCACACCATATAACGTTTATTTTCTGTCTCTTACACGCTCCCCCCCGAAAGATGACTGGGGAGTCTTTCTGCTTTAGTACAAACTAGTACTGAGCGTACAAAAACTAGTCGAAACTATCCGATCAGTACAAAGTTCCTCAAAAGTTCCCTCAGTTATCTTAACCTTTCGGAACAGTTCAGACACTTCTCGATGCCCTTCCTACACACATGAACTGGTAGCTTCAAAGAGGTTTTGGCCGCTGTTCCAAGCCACCTAGTAACTGCTCTTCCAATAGACAGAGCTTCCGGACATCTCTGCGGTATACTCCGTCCGCTGTTCTGACAACATCGCTATCAGGATAGGTTTGCTCGACCAAACCCTTCGGCCACTGACCCCGGGACAAATTCTTGTCTGCAAGCAACACTAAATCTCCCACTTTAAAGTTTGGCTTGGGTTGTAACCACTTCTGGCGTTCTTGGAGCGTCGGCAGATATTCCCTTGTCCACCTCTGCCAAAATTCATTTGCGAGAAGGTGAACGTGCTTCCATCTGGCTTTGAATCAATCTGACTCATCGAATAAATCTGGGGATGAAGACGGGTTTCGGCGCAACAGAAGGATATGGTTTGGCATCAGTGCTTTCAAATCCTTTGGATCATGAGAGACCAGCGTGATTGGCCTGTCATTCAAAATCTTCTCTACTTCAATGAGGAATGTTCTCAGGGTTTCTTCGTCTACGAGGCGTTCTCCCACCATAGAATGAAGGATCCTTCTGATAGACCATATAAGTCTCTCCCATACGCCGCCTTGGTGACTGGCTGCAGGTGGGTTAAATTTCCACTCAATTCCTCTCCTGGTCAACTTCAACTGAATCTTCTCCTGATCCCACACTTTTAAAGCGTTGACGACGTCCAATTCAGCTCCTCTAAAATTAGTACCGTTGTCACTATAGATAATACCTGGGGAGCCTCTTCTACCAACGAAGCGCAAAACAGCATTGATAAAACTGTCAGTGGAGAGGTTGTTAACTAACTCTATGTGAACTGCTCGATATCTTAGGCAAGTGAAGATGCAGCGTAACGTTTGTTCAGAGAAAAGTCTCTCCTCAATCTTGTGTTAGGTCCTATCTTCACATAGAGGGGCCCAAAGTAATCCAACCCAACTGCAGCAAATGGATATACGAGCCTGTGACTATCCGAAGACACTCTAACAACTGAAAGTGGTGCTGTCACTTGTTCTCCTAACTTAGCGTTCTGACGTTTGCACACATGGCACTTTCCAAGAACTTGCTTTATCGTGGAAACTGCATTCACGATCCAATAGCGCTGCCTAATTTCGGCCAGAACTTGATAGGTTCCTACGTGTCCATTCAAGTGATGATAGTGGCGAATTATCAACTCAGACACGCGGTGCTTTGCTGGCAGTATCATCGGGTGCTTGGCATCATATGGCAAACTCGAGTGATTCAAGCTTCCGCCGACACGTATGATTCCTTCATCTTCGAATGGCTTAAGTCTGGCTAGTCTGCCTTTGATGACCGTTTCACTTTTCTCATCAGCAAATGACTGCTCCTGGACGAACTTCACGATTTTCTTCTCCGCTTTGTCCACATCATGGATCGATAAGGTTTTAGGACTATACTTCACGATTTTCTTCTCCGCTTTGTCCACATCATGGATCGATAAGGTTTTAGGACTATACTTCACACTTCTATCTTTGTCGTTCTGGCACTGGGACTGCATCGGTCTGTTGAAGCTCTACATAACCACCCAACTATTCTTCTCAGTCGATCCCACGACGAATATCGTTGGAACAAAATGCTCCAGAAATCCGCATGAACTGTGGATGCTCCAACAGTGACTCTCCCCCTTTTCACTCCTTCGTCTGTATCTAGAAGGTCTCCCAATTCCTCTGGAGGCTGCGGGGGCCAATCTTCAACTTCTCTCCACAAGAATTCTGGACCACGGCGCCACCTTTCCAGTTTTCCAGTCTCCGAGGCCTTGATCCCTCGGGAAGCATAATCCGCAGGATTGAGCTCTGATCGTACATGCCGCCAATGCCCTGGATCTGATTCTGATTCTGATTCGTATGACAGCTACTCAGTTTGCGACGAAGGTTACAAATCTTCGTACTTCATTGGCAATAAACTTGAGAACTATCATAGAGTCAGTCCAGTAAGTCACACTGTTAATCTTCAGTCTTCCTTCTAACTCTCTCGTTATGACCTTGTTGACTTTCGTTGCTAGAGTAGCCGCTGTCAACTCCAGCTTTGGTACTGTTACAGCACTTTTCAAGGGTTTCACGCGAGACTTCCCCATTACGAAACAGCAATGAATTTGCCCTCGACTGTTAACAAGACGTAAATAAGAGGCTGTCCCATAACCATGCTCTTGGGATGCGTCGGCGAAATGATGAAGCTCTACATGTTTCACTTCACCGAAGTCCTTTGGCTTAAAACATCGAAGAATACTGAATCCTTGCAAGCTCAGAAGCCCTTCTCTCCAACTCTTCCAACGTTCACACAATTCTCTTGGGAGCTTCTCATTCCAATCCAACTTTAGTTTGCACAATTTCTGATTCATTTCTCTTCCAGGTAAGAGTAGGGGGCTGGCGAATCCGAGCGGGTCATACACGGTTGCAATAGATGATAAGACACCTTTCAATTCTCTGGACGCTCCTTGTCATTCACAACAAAGTCAATGGTGTCATGTTCAACATTCTAGTGGATTCCTAGTGCTCTATCTATAGGCAAACTTTCTGATTTCAAATCTAAACTCTTAATGGTGGGTGCTCTTTCCTCCACCAGGAACGCTGACAACACGCTGCAAGAATTGGAAATCCATTTGGTCAATTCAAAGCCTCCTCTCGCAAGTAACTCCTGTAGCTGCTTACTGACTTGTACTGCGCGTTCTGAATCAGCAAAGGATTTAAGCAAGTCATCTATGTAGAAATCCTTAAGCACGGCGTCAACTGTCTCTTGGGAGAAGTCTTTCTCATGATCCTTAGCCGTCTTTCTTAGGGCGTATCCTGCTACGCTCGGCAAGGACTTTGCTCCGGCCACCATAAATAACACAACGCTCCACGATCTTCTGGTGCTACGAAGACCTGGTGAAACATTCTCTTAATATCTGCCGTGACTGCAACGTCATCTACTCGGAATCTCGGGATCACTCCTATCAGGGTGCTGGTGTTTTCAGGGCCTCTCAAAAGTTGCTCATTCAAAGACGTTCCACCACCCCTTGAGGCACAATCAAACACTACCCGCAGTTCTTCGGGTTTTCTAGGATGCCACACCGCGTGATGAGGAAGGTACCATAGTGGCTTAAGCACTGGGACTTCATCATCAGGTACCCATCGTGATGCTCCCTCGGTCAGGTACTTTTCCATTACGCCACTGTACTTTCGGTGGAAAACTGGATCCTTCCGCATCTTTCTCTCTAGCCAACTTAACCTGCTTGTGGCCGTCGACAGACTCTCAGGAAGGTCAGGCTTCTCTTGGCGAAAAGGAAGCTTAAGCTGATAGTGTCTGTTCACTAAGGTCGCTGACTGATCCATAAGTTCCTGTGCTTTATGGTCCTCAACAGACATGCCTTCCTCAGCATTGGCATCAGCTTCAACAAATTCCTCATCATACATGCGCTCTAGCTCAACGCTTAAGCTATCTTGGCCGGTGCGAGTAAAGTTTATGTGAACACGGTCCGTAACAGTTTCTCCAATCGGGCTGTGGACTGTCCACCCAAGGGGTGTCCTCACTGCAACAGGTTCGCCTTGATCTCCTTCTTTCCGATCTAACTGCTTGTCAATCAGGTCTGGGCGATCGTTTCCTATCAAAATTGTCACTTTCTTATCTCCTGTTTCGGGTAAGCTAACGTCACAAAGATGAGGCCAACACTTAATATCCTCGTTTGTGGCCATTTGTCATGCTGAAACGGGAAGATTGCTTGTAGTCAAGACGTTTTCGAGTCGGAACTTTGCATCTCCTTCTAACGATTCAATTTCTAACTGGACTTCATGACCATGTCTTAGCTCCCCGACCACACAGTTGGTGGTGGTCATAGTATAGCTGATTGGCTTCATATCCGTTACACCTATTTCACGCGCCAAACTATCTAGACAGAGCAAGGCGTCTGAACCGCTGTCTAGGAAAGCGTGCGTTATGATCTCTCTGGCGCCTCCCGGACATCTTATCTTGACTGGAACTACCTTAAAGCATACTATCCTTCGTGTTGGGTGCTTGCACATTGCTACTGTTCGCTGAACCTTCCACCGCATTACTGCTGGGATTTCTAGGGTTCTTTTCATCAACGCTCTCCGACGGGAAATGTAGCAGGTAGTGGTGATCCTTGCCGCAACCTGATATTTGGCAGGTGAATCCCCTATCACATCGTTTCGCAGTATGTCCTTGGTCAAGACAAAGCTTACAAAGTCCACGTTGACGAACAGTCTTTAGACGGTCATTCAATGAGGCACTTCTAAACTTTCAGCACCTCCAAACATTGTGAGGTCCGGAACACTGCGCACACTTCCAAGGGGGCCTCGGTGATGTTTTCTGGTTTAGGCAATTCTGGTCAGTTTGAGTCGCAAGGGTAGTAAACTTGGGAGGCGGATGCTTTGTCTTGTTTAGTTCCCTTTTTTCTCGGTTACCATGAGAAGAGGACCTGAATTCTTGCCCGTATCGATTGTTTATACAATCTGCAACTCTTCGAACAAGTTCAACAAAGTCTGCAAAGTCCGCTCGACCTTTTCACTTGATGAGATTTCCTGCTTTATCCACCCACTTCCTTTTCAGGCTCTCATCAGGGAGCTTTCGCATCAACGAGATTATGACATCTTCGTTGTCTAACCGACTCACGCAGTTGTGACCCATACTGGTCAGGACCCTCCTAGCATCTTCCAGTCGCCTCACAAACTCCATGAGAGTCGTCGCATCTGCTTTCCGCACTTGAATTTCTCTCAGTTTCTTCATGTGGGCTTCTACTATCATGTGAGGCTGGCCAAAGTTCTCGCTAAGAGTTCTCCAGGCTTCTGTGTACCTTTCACCCACTGTCAAATTAACACAACTCCTAATTGCTTCTTTAGCTTTGCCTGAGCACTGAGCCAAAAGGTGTGTCAGTCTTTGAGACTCATCAGACACCTGGTTCTCAATATTGTCTCTAAAGTTCGTAACGAACTCCACATACTCCAAAGGGTCTCCACTGAATTTCATCAACTCTACTTTCGGTAAGGATGGCCCTTGCTTCATTGCCTCGGCAACTGCCACCCAAGGATCAGGCTGCATGCGTGACTGCGGACTAGCTTGCTGCTCAAAAGGAGGGGCTGAATAAATATACGTTGATGCGGATTGCTGAGGAGTGTTGGCAGGATAGAACTCGGCTGCTGATGCATCTAAACCTACAGTTCGTGGATCACAAGACCATGTAGGTATTCCTGGTGATTGATGCATCGACATTGGTGATGCCGCAACAGCTTTGGATGTTGCCCTTGGCAAATTAAAGTGAGGTGCATAACTGATAGGCGTGCTGGACTTAGTACAGATGCTTGGAGCCAGGGTAGTTAAACTACTAGAACTTGTCTTGTGAATTGCTACTCTTCCTACATTTGGAGCAGAAGTCGTGACCGCTGACCCTGATGTTACGTAACTCGCAGTCACCAATGATGAAAGTGAAGTTTGGGCATTATCTTGTGCTGAAGATGTTTGCATTTTTCCATTGTCAACAACTGGCTGGGATTCTGAAGAGGGTGTGGCACCACCCGCAACAGGCTGTGACAAATGCCCCTTCGCAGGAGGATAATTGGCACCATGCTCCTTTAAGTAATCATTCATCCCATCCTTCGCTTCATTCTCTTCGCCACACTCCAGCAATAAGTCAATTTCCGCCTGCTCCATCTTAGTTTTAGCACTCAACAGCTCTAATTTCCTGTTTAACTCTGCTTTACTTCTTTCTACTTCTTCTAATTTGCGTTCTAGTTCCTCCTTTTCTTTTAGGGTCTGCACTTCCAATTTAGCTTCTACCGCCACCCTTCTCTTCTCTTTAACACTACTTCTATTTGACACACAACTTCTCTCGCTCTTGTCAGACCCATGGCTCAATCGAGATTCAGAAGGAGTACCTACTCCCTTTTTCCTTCACTGATTTATGAGGATTTCTAACTGTAATTTCATTTCTCGTTCATTCTGATAACTGTCAATAATAAATTGTTTTTTCTCTTCATCATCTTCAAAGCCGAAGTAATTATCATGACTGACAACAAAGTTACGAAATGCTTCTTCATACCTGCAAATCTCGGCTTCCACTCCACTTATCTGTGTGCTAGGGCTTAAAATCAATTCTTGTACACAATTTCGCCGTTTCCGCAGTTCTCCAAGATACCAGTTTCGATGACGCTTCGCATGAACCGCTTTTTCGACTCGAACTTCCAATTCATCTATTCTTTTGTTCCCTTAATCTAACAGGCCTGGAACTACTGCCTTGTTCTACCGGATCCTCGCCATAGAAACCAAATTCCACGTTTCCACTTGTTAATGATGGCCCTACTTGCTCTAATCCACCATTCTCATCACCTTGGAACGTGCGCTGAGGAGATTTCTCTGTTGACGCCGAATCGGGAACATTTTCCTTCTATGGAGTCACGTGAGTCGCTGCTTGCTGGTGTCCACCTTTCTTAGCACTACTTTTTGATTTCTTGCTCTTCGAATTCTTGCCAGTCATTCCGTTCCTTTAACCACAGTACTGCTTGAAATCAATAACTTCGAATGATGTAGCGTCCACTCATAGCTACTTCAAACTGTACTTTAATCAGTTGTTCACTTGCTAGTTCGTTTCTAATCTGCACATAACTTGTATTCATTCCATTCACAAATTGCACGTGAAAGAGAAAGATTCGCTGAAATAACAACAACGCGACTATTACAAAGATGATATTGACCGAACAACTGAAATACTGCATACTTACAAATTATTGTGCCTGCTAAATAGAAAGGAAAACTTGTCCTAACGAAACGACAGTGTAACTCCATAACAAAACGTGCTTTTCGTGGGAAAGAGCCATCGCGATATTTTGCGTGCGGTCACCGAAGACCACACCATATAACGTTTATTTTCTGTCTCTTACAAACACCTTCCCTATGACTTTTTTGCCAGTGTACTTGAATTATGTTGATAAGTAAGCATACATTTGAGTACCTTTGATCAATCATTCAGTAGTAACTTCTTTTAAGTTTTAGAAAACGTTTGGGAAAAATAAGACAAGACAAGCATAGTTTATCCTCACCAGTTTTTACCTAACCTCTCACATACTTGTCCAAGAAACTAAGATATATGTGACTGCAGCAGCATGCAGTAAGTTCAGCCAGTGGTAATGAATACAAGTGTTTAGCGACCACGCCTGTTTTTCTTTGCTTGGACGCCATTTTATTTTTTACTTTCCCTTTCACGTGTATTAGCTGAGTCATTTCCAGTTATTTTGTAATCATGATCCATCGCATCTATAACTTTGAAGTATACAACCTAAATGATAGGAACATTTCTTTAGTGAAGCGCTCCATTGTTTTAAGTGTGTGATTAACTTTTCATTTTTTTTTTCTGTAGAATGTTATCTCAAGACTGCAGACCTCTCAAGTCTCCCGATTTTGTCGTGAGACTCACGGTTTTCAGTTCAATCTCACGGTCTCACGACGAGACAGACAAATCTCACGATAAATATCTTTTTTGTATAATTTCATTTTTGGCTTACTTGGGTGAGTTTCTTGGACCAATTCTGTGCAAATCCATAGTTAAACTTAACAAACCTGGAAACACAGTCCATGACAGACTTTCGTCCATGACCATATATAGAACAGCCGTTCCAAATTAGGTCATCATTACCAGTCTCTTGCATTTTGATCGCGTTTTATGAATATTTATCACATGAAGAGACAGGTTCAGTTTCAAACACAAAAGGAAAAGGCAGCAGCAGAGGTGCAGCGAAATATAGAACCAAGTTCAACACAGAATGGGAAGGTTCATATCCAGTTAAACGTGTTCAAAGCGATCCATATTCGTTTTGGTGTGTTCCTTGCAATAAACATGTTCGGTGCGATCACCAAGGATTAAGAGATGTTAAAGTCCATTGTGAAAGAGAATCACACAGTCGAAAACAAGCACAGTTTTTCGCAGCAGCCAGATTTACATCAACAGATGTCATAAAAGCAGAGGTAGTGGTTACAAATTTCTTGATACAACATAATTTACCAATTGCTACAGCATGGCATCTTGGACCACTCTTCAAAACTATTTTCCGAGACAGCAAAATTGCTCAGTCATATGCCTGCAGTGCAACAAAAACAGCTGCAATTTACATACATACATACATACATACATAACTTTATTTGATAACGCAGGTTAAAATTTGCGCAACTTTACAGCTGATGTGGACCTGCCTAAACTAATTAGTCTATAATTATATAAAATACAGATATGATAAAATTTATAAGTTGAATAAATCAAGTAAACCATAAAGTTTTAGTAATAGTGAAAATTTGGTTTCATGTTTTGTATAACATTACCTCCCTTTTCAAAATTAATATTCATAACAGTTTGCTTGGATTGTTTTAAGTTATATTTAAAAATAGATAAATTTGGAGAATCTTTAACATTATCGGGAAGTGCATTCCATGCTACTGCAGATCTATGAGCAAAGGACCTACGACCCAATTCGGTTTTGGGCCTATTAAGTACAACATTCAGGGATTTCCTTAGGTTATAACTGTTAGAGTTCTTGGTCACCAAACAATTAATTTCCCGCAACCCTAAATTATAATAAGCATTATATGTAATAGTTAAGATACGTAGCTTATAAAAATACTCTAAAGGCATCCAGCCAACCTTAGAAAGTACATCATTATCCCCAAAACTATTTGGTATCTTATGAATTAGCCTGGCAGCCCTGATGTGAATCATTTCTAGATCTTTAAGCTTGGATCCAGACCCCCAAATTGCAATTCCATATAGAACACTTGGTATAACTATCCTATAGTAAAAAGTCTCCAAGATAGATGTACATAGGAAATTTATACGTCTCAACATTTTAACTTTGGCATTAAATGCAGATCTAGCCAATGCAACATGCTGAGACCAAGAGAGTTTATCATCAATTGTAACCCCAAGGCAATTGGTGGAGGACACATACCGAATGGTGTCCATACCCCACTTCAGCTGTTTCAAAGGACCTATGAAGGGGTAGTACTTAAGACCATTGCCTCGGATTTACCTTCATGTAGAATCAATCTGTTACTAAGACACCAGGAATTAACCTGGTCCAAAACAGCCTGTAACCCTGTTGTTATTTCATCAACAGTATTCCCTACTACATATATTGTTGTGTCATCAGCATACATATAGACTTCTCCACTGGTAATAGATTCAGGGAGGTCATTAACATAAGATGCAAACAATCTTGGTCCTAGTAAGGATCCCTGAGGGACCCCAGCTCTAATGGGGATTCTATCAGATCTAGACCCACTTACACTAGTCCCTTGTACACGGTTGGAGAGATAGTCATTGATCCATTTCCACATATCACCTGCCAAGCCAACAGCCTTGAGTTTCTCAGTAAGAATACTGTGGTTGACACAATCAAAAGCTTTGCGGAAATCAATGAATAAGACTCCAACCTTATGGCCTCTATCCAGGGCACTCCCCAGGACTCAGTGAGATGAAGGAGGAGGCTCTCCGTTGAATAGCCCCTCCTAAATCCCCATTGTCTATCTGTGAGAATGCCATTGGATAACATGTGATCATCAAGTGAGTCACACACTACCTTCTCAAGAAGCTTTCCTGGTGTACTAAGCAAGGATATAGGTCGGTAATTGTTAGGATCCAGCCTGTTCCCTTTCTTAAAAACAGGTGTAACTAATGACTCCTTCCATTGTTGAGGGAACTTACAACAGTCCATGCTTTTTTTGAACACCTCTAGCAGACCCTGAATAGCAGAGCCCTGTGCCAATTTAAGATCTTTAGGAAAAATATTATCAGGGCCTACTGCTTTGTTTGGATTAATAGACTTCAAAACATCTCTAACTATATCCCAATTCAAAGAAAAATTCTCTATAGTGGGAGTAATTCTATTAATATAAAAAGTAGTATCTAAATGTACTGGATCCAAGTTCTTAGTAAGATCATGTGCAATATCAATAAAATAGTTATTAATCAAATTCGCTTTCTGCCTATCATCTGAAATAATAGTGTTATTAGAATCTTGTAGGGGACCAATTTTATCACTTTTGGTCTTACCAAGTATACGATTAGATATTCTCCAGAAATCTTTAGGTGAAGAAGATTCTTTAAATAGCCCAATCCAGTAAGAGGCCTCAGCTTTTCTGAGCATACTTCTAACAGCGTTTCTTTTAGCTCTATAGATGTCCCACTGAGGATTATCATGGGGTTTACCTTGAGCAGCTTTTTAAACACTTATACCTTTGATTCATAGCCTTTCTGATTTCGGTATTGATCCAGGGAAGTGACTTGTGTCTGACCTTCACATTCCTTCGTTTGATGTTGGACTCTATAATGTCTTTAAACATGGTTTCCCATAAGTAAACACTGTCCTCAACATCCTCTACAGCAGACACAATATGCCATGGAGCTTCCTCTAAGGACCTCTGGAATTTTTCATTATCCATATCCTTATAGTTCCTTACTGTAATAAGCTTAGGCTTTGAATTACTCCTCCTTGTAGAAAAGGCAGCAAATATAAGATGATGGTCTGAAATGCCCAGGTCAATAGAACCAGCTAAGACATTTGATGCATGCAAATTAGGACTAACAATAATGAGGTCGATAAGTGACTTAGAGTTAGCTGTGATGCGCGTTGGTGATTCAATGACGTTAACGTAACCAAAACGCCTAAGAATTCTTTTCATTCTATTACAGTCATATGGCGCATCTTGATCTGTATCTGCCGTATTAGCTAAGAGATTACAGTTAAAATCACCTAATAATATGACATTCTTCCTCTTGATCCATATTTTATTAAGCAGGTCATGTAAGTCATCATAAAACGTGATTGATTTAGGTGGTCGGTATAGGCAGCCAAGTAAAGTAGACTGTGATCTTATGGTAATGTTAATCCATACAGCCTCCAAGTCCTGATGAATGTCCCACTTTAGGTTTTCAGAAATGTTCAAATTATCGCGATAATATATTACCACGCCGCCACCTTTCAAGCCATTTGATCTATCTCTTCTCACCGTGTTATAACCATATATTCTTATTAATTCATTTGATAGGTCTACGGTCAGGTGGGTCTCAGTAACGCCCAGGATGTCGAATTCAACCTCTTTTAATAGGAATTGAATTTCAGACAATTTATTAGTAAGACCATTGATATTTATGTGTCCAATCTTTAAGTTCTTGTTGTTGCCCATCGTAGTCTTTAACGTAGTGAAAACATCTTCGTCAGGTTCAGACACCACGTCATCGTCAAGGTTTAAGTCTAAAGAACTGGCATCGGCAAAGGGAAGAGCCCTCAGTTCACAGAAAGGGCAGTTCCAGAAGAAATGATCGAGGAGTTGAAGTTTGTTGTATTCACTTGGGTTAACTCTTCCACACTTTATGTGGCACCAACGGAGACAGATATCGCATTCTATTGCACGGTGAGTTTTGGCGACAGCTCTCTCGCAAATTGGGCACTTAGGGCTGTTATAAGGGGGGACCAGGATTAGGATTAATGTCACCACTAGTTGAGAGCCTTATCAAATTAAAGGTGCTGACTGAGTTGGAATACAGAGAAACCCGAGTTGAGAAGAACCTTCTACCGTGGGAGCGATGATACGTACCACGTGGAGGAAATGTAGCCAGAGTCGGGTAGAAAAAATCCTTTCGCCAATCCATGGCACACTCCGAAGCATCACTACGCATTTCATTGGCTTTTCCGAAGGCTTCGACATCGAAGAAGCAACAGTAAAAGCGAAACTGAACCAGAAAAGCATATAAAGTGACGGAACTCCAAGAAAAACGTCCAACCGCCATGGCTGACCACCGCTGACCCCCAGTAAGCCTTAGTGTTGACAACACTAACTCCATGATCGGAAAGAACAATTCCTTTGCATCTTGGTATAGGCAAAGAAATCCAGATATTTTTGTAAGTGGTTGCCCTTGTCATCTGGTGCACATAGCTGCCAGAAATGGTCACGACTCTTTTGCAAAAGTAATTGGTGCGAACATTGAAGATTTGCACATTGATCTCTACTACTGGTTTGAAAGAAGCAACAAGAGAAAAGGGGTATTACTTGAGTATATGGAGCTTTGTGGACATGAGTATGCCAAAATATCGAAACATGTGTCAACAAGGTGGCTGTCATTGGAAAGGTGTGTGCAGCGAACACTTGAAAAGTACAGTGGACTCAAGTCGTACTTTCTAAATGAAGAGTTTGCTGACCAAAGATTTTCAAGGCTGCGAGATGCTTTCACTAATCCTCCTACAGAAGTTGCTCTGCTATTTCACCATGCATCAATTCCACTTTTCAACAACTTCAACAAACTGTTGCAATCTGAGGAGCCTATCATTCACATGCTTCATGATTCCACCATACAACTGGCACGGTCTCTGGCCAACAGGATCATTACGCCACAAGTTCTAAAGGATACACCAATTACAGAACTGAATATGGATGATCCACAGATTTATAAGCCAGAGCATACAATCTTTGAGGGGGTTACCACAAAGTTCAAGCTTCAAAAACTTCTCAATGATGGGGCATTAGTGAGAGGCAGCATTCCCGGGTATTTAAAGCAGCCCAAGCCTATTTTAAGGTCTCCCTCAGTTACATTTTGACAAAATTTCCAATGTCAAACGAGCTAATTATGAAAGCAGGATGGATTGATGTAGGAAGCAGAATAGATTCAAAGTGGGAGAGCGTGGAATTTTTCATAAACAGATTTAAAGCCATTTTTCAACAATTGCTGTTGACAAGCTTTATGACGAGTTCTGTGACTACCAGACACTCCCTGATGAATGTTTTCGGGATGATGTGCTGAAGGAAGCTAAAGTGATTGACGGAGAAGAGGATGGAGAGGTGCTTTTTCATTACAGAGTGGATGTCTTGTGGTCGCATATTGCTCAGCTTGTCATCCCCGGCACAACTGCTAAACGATTCAAACATTTGCCAAAAGTAGCAAGACTTGTTTTAGTCTTGCCCCATAGTAATGCTGGAGAGGAACGATTATTCAAAGGAAAAAACAAGGCTGAGAGCAGAGCATCGATGAAGCTGAAGGGTACACTGTCAAGTTTGCTGGCCATGAAGCTGCAGTATCCAGAGCAGACTGTACCGTGCCACATGTGGAGTCCTACAAAAGAACTGTTGAACAGTTTCAAAAAGGCAGCTACTGCATATAATACTGAGCACTGAGTTCAGCTCGGTGCTCACACACTAGCTGGACTTAAGCTGTGAAATAAAGTTTATTTCTGTGTTGTTAAGGTCCACACATGTTTTATGTAAATCATAAGCAGGAAAAAGACACATTCTCTTAATTAGAACCTGTGTTTACTTGGTTTTGTCTGCCGGTCGATCAATCTACAAATTTTTACTGAAATCTCCAGATTTTTTACATCAGTCTCCAGATTTTCGGTGTTTTGAGGTTGAGAGGTCTGAGACTGTATAAATAAACTTCGTTTGGGTTAACGTTTTTGAAAATCCTCCATTTATGTGTACGGGAGATAGCCACAGTAACATTCATTTAGATTTATGTCCATCACAATTGATCCAAGTTCCCTTAATTTTGAACATGTGGTGCCAGAAGGTGGTAAAGAAGATGAGGTAGTTCTCGAAGCTGGTTACACTGAGAAAGGAGGCACACCGTGACTGAAAAGGGGTATAAACATACATGTACACATACAGAGCAATTGCACTTGTGACGTAGAGGTGTTGGATTATCAATGGGAACTTACTGTCAAGCTGTCATCATTGTTCAAGCGTGATGTTATCCCTGCCAATTATTCTCAGATTCCCAAAGTCAAGGTACCCCAGGAATGGGAAAATTTACGCCCCATTGCTTGTCATATGATCCTGATGTAGAGATCTCACTGCTTATTGGAAATAACTGTCTCAGTATTGTCAGACCCAGGGAAGTTCTTGTGGGAGGTGATGATGAACCCTACGGACATAGATCCTCAATGGGATGGGGTATTACTGGCAGAGTTTGCGAGCCCCCTGACTGTTAGAGGAATAAAGCAGTTTGTAACAAAGCATTTTACCTTTTTGACCAAAGTAAAGGAGGTCATCAATCCACAGAAGATTCTTCAAGTCCTTGAGTCAGATTTTGTAGAAAATTCTTCAAGGAACAAGCCCTTCTTGGTAGAAGACAGCTGATTTCTCACAACCCTAGAGAATGGAATAAAAAGGAGAGAGATGGGCATTACAAGATGACACTCCCCTTACAATCAGATTGCCGCTCTCTTCCTTTCAACTGCCAGCTGGCTCTCAAGAGGTGGAATCAGCTCCTTGCAAGGTTTAGAAGAAACCCCAAGTTCCTTGAAGACTATCAAGCACTTATGACTGAAATAATCGAACTGTGTGCTGAGAAAACAAACAAAACCAACAAACCTAGATGTATGAAACTATGTGCCTCACACTGGGGTGTATCACCTCCGGAAAAAAGATCAAATTGGAGTGGTGTTTGATTGTTTGGCTCAGTATGAAGGAGTGTCCTTAAACAACCACTTGTTGCAGGGCCCTGACCATACGAACACTCTCCTGGGAATTCTGTGCAGATTTAGAGAGGAAAGTGTAGCCTTCATGAGTGACATTAAAAGCATGTTTCATCAGTTTACATTGTCCGAAGGACACAGAGACTTCCTGCCGTTCTTGTGGTGAAAAGATGGGGATCTCGGTAATGAAGTGGTTGAGTACAGAAACGAGCTCATCTTTTTGGCACAGGAAGCTCTCCTGGCTGTGACAGTTTTGGTCTCAAACAAGCAGCAGATGATGGTGAAGATGAATATGGGAAGGAAGCTGCTGACATTAAACGCAATGATTTTTATCTGTCCCTAATGTGGAAAAGGCTGTCAACCTGATAAAGGCAAGTCAAGGGATTTGTGGCAGTGCAGGACTGAAGCTGCACAAAATCATGTCCAACAGAAGAGAAGTTCTCATATCATTTCCAGTGGAAGAACGGGTTAAAGCCTTAAGGGAGGTAGACCTGAAGATTGATCCCCTTCCTGCTGAGCATGCTTTAGGTGTGGTTTGGTGCAGCGAGAGTGAGAGTTTCCAGTTTTGCATACAGATTTCATGTGTATGTTTCAAATCGCGCACAGAAAATCTATAATGCCACAATTCCAAGTTCCTGGCTGTACATTAACACTGTAATTAATCCCGCTGATCATGCGTCTCGTGGGCGCACAACCTCAGAGTTGATGCAGGGATCCAGATGGCTGCCTGGACCAGAGTAGACCCTTCTTGCCTCAGAAAGTTGGAGAGTTTGAAGTAAAAGAAAATGACCCTGAAGTGAAGAAAGCAAGTGTCCTCGAGTGTCATGTAAGAAGTTCTGCCACCCAGCCCTTTGATCACTGATCCCTGATCGCTTGTGCCACATTTCGAGCCGGCAGCATCTATGGTTGAAGAGCCTATGGTTCAAGACCAAACTGGCGAGCAAAGAAGTAAAGTTGAAGGCCCATGTAAATGCGAAGATCACCAGACCTGCCAGGAAAGTAGCAGTTACGCTGATGGAGCTTCAGACAGCAGAGAGAAGTTCTTAGATTATTCAACGTGAGCATTTTCAGAAAGAACTACAAGTTTTAGAACTTACTGTGGTGGAAGAGATAACTCCTAAGAAGCTACCAAGACAAAGAAATCTGGTGATCAAGATATCAAGCTGTCTGTACCATTTGGATCCATTCCTAGACAAATATGGTCTGATCCATGTAGGTGGCTATATTAATTGAGCTCATCTACCTTTTGCAACAAAACATTCTGTTGTCCTTCCTTGTAGGAGCCCTTTACAAATCTACTGATCTGCTTCTGTCACGCCAAAGTGAATCACATGGGAAGAGGAATCACCCAAAATGAGTTGTGCCAAAGAGGGTACTGGGTTGTCGGTGGCTCCTCAGCTATATCAAGTTGTATTTCTCAGTGTGTAACCTGTAGAAAGTTGCGGGGAATCCCCCAAGTTCACAAGATGGCAGATTTGCCTCGAAATCGCATCGAGCCATCACCGCCCTTTTCATACTGTGTGGTTAACTTCTTTGGACCATTTCTGATCAAGAAAAAAAAGTCAAGTAGAGCGTAATGGAGTTATCTTTACTTGCATGGCCAGCAGAAGTGTACATCTGGAGACAACCAATTTTCTGAACACCTCCTCCTTTATCAATGCCTTGAGTCATTTCCTCAACTGGTGTGGTCCAGTCAGACAACTTCGCTGTGATCAACAAACAAACTTTGTAGGTGCATAAAACAAAATGATTGCAGCTTTCGAATAACTAGATCAGGAACATTTATGTGATTATCTTGTGGAGAATGGTTGTGGGTGGTTACCATTTGAGATGAATACACCCATTCTAGTCACATGGGTGGCACATGGGAACATTTAATATGGACTGTCCGTAACTCGTTGGAACTGCTACTCCTTGGTTGGTACTCAGATGGATGGCAAAGCATTCAGGACTCTTATGAAAGAGGAAGAGTGCATCGTTTATTCCAGACCACTAACTACAAACCATCTGAAGTAGCCAGGGGCACCAGAATCTCACCCCCAGCCATTTACTCACCTTAGAGCCCAGGTACTCACCTGGAAAAATCCAGAGAACAGATATGTATTGTTGAAAGTGGTGGCGAAGAGAGCAGTATTTTGCCAACGAATTCTGGCTCAGATGGCACCATGAGTTTTTATAGAGCCTGCAAACTCTTGTCAAGAGGGTTCATCCAAAATGGAACGTGTCAGTTGGAGATGTGGTTTTATTAAAGGAAGACAAAGGTCTGTGCAACCAGTGGCCACTTGCTAGAGTCATTGAAGTATACCCCAGCAAAGATGGGTACATCAGAAAAGTCAAGATTATGAAAGCTGATGGAGAGCCTGACTAGCAGGGGAGACGTCTCAGGCCCTCTATGTTCTTCGAAAGACCAATTCACAGTTGGTGCAGCCACCATATGTCAGAAAAATATAGAAGAAATAGGAACAACACCAGGGAAGGGGGCGTTGGCATATATATCTAGGAATCAATCAAGTTCAACAGACATACTGATCTGGAAAAGCAGTACCCTAATCTGGAACATCTGTGGGTGGAGATCCCAGGGCACAACAGACACAGAGTTTTACTTGAAATCATTTATTGTTCTGACCTCATATTGCCATACAACAACTGGTTGAACAGTTTGAGTCATTGCTTAGTGACCTAGCAATACCCTGGGACTGCACGTTCCTATTAACAGGCAACATCAACATGGATCTTCTTCGACTGGATAACCCTGATGCTAGGAAATACCCTGATTTATTGAGTTCTATGAGCCTACGGCAGATTTTTACCAAGGCAACGTACACAACTTCTGTGTCTGAGACCCTGATTGACCATATCATTAGTCATAGTCACCTTTTAAATATGGAAGTTAATCCTCATATAGAAGGCTTAAATATAATTTTTATATGTAAAATGTAGTATGCAGTAATTAGCAATTTTCTAATGATACAATTTAACTAGTTTGTAGCTAGTCTGTAGCATAGAGTAGCCACCCCACTGATGGAATGCTAATAAACCATTATTATTATTATTATTATTATTATTAAGAGACAATCATCACATTCCTTAAACAAAAACACACTGTACAATATTTACAAAAACCATACAAATTAGAGTAATTTAAAAGTGATGGTTCAACATATTAGGTAAATTATAACATCACTGCAATAAAAGTTTGTTGAAATAAAGGTATGTTGTCAAGTTGTGAATATACCCAACACACCTCAATAAATATGTCTTCAGTTGTTACTTTTATTCAGAAACAGGGCAACAGTGGCAATTTAGTATTGGCACTAACAGTATTAATAAAGAGCAGTAATTTTATTCTTCTATTTACAAATTACTTGTACAGGTTTAACTAATATTATTTTAATATGATTGAAGTTTAGGCAAAAGTTTCAGATGTCCTAACTTTCTGTTACAGTATTTGAGAGACAATTCTCAACCCCTTCCTTCCAATTTGTTGTATCACTGCCAGATCAGAATCTTGATTTGCCTTGCATTTCAAACGTATGAGCTAAGACATGGACATAGAATTCATCAGTACTATTTGTAATGTCTGAGACCTGATATGAGTGCGAACAGTCAAGTAGATATTTAAGTGAGTTATTTATGAGGTGTACCGCTGGTTACATATTTTTGCAGTCATGATAAGATATCAAGTTTTCGAGAGCACATGGT